GACAGCATAAAGTGGCATAAAGTCCGTTGAGGTGGCTGTCCTATGGGAGAGTGGAGGTCAGTTGGGGGTGGCCACAATGCCACTCATCAAGAGGACAAAGGTGGTAAGAACAGAAAAGGTCTCCCTCCATCTGGCCACATGAGAGCCACCAGTGACGCTAACTAGAGCAGCCTTATGGACCAAGGTTGGATGGGAGGATGACATGCATGATGGGAAAGTAGAGACCACCTATAAAGACAGATCTGTTGAGAACTTTAGCAATACGGGGTACTAAGAAAGAAATCTACACACGGAGGCAGAACAGCCAAGGTTGGGATGTTTGGGGATTGAGAAATCGTAAGTGTTGAGAAACCAGCTACTTGACTGCTGGTGAGAGAAAGGTCCTGCCTCGGGTTTGTTGTGATTTTTTTTAAATGATGTGATCTTACAATTGTGTAACAATTTACAGTTTACCAAGTGTTGTCACACACACCCTGACACTCCTCAAGGCTGTCCTTTGAGGTGTGAGCAGCACCGAGACAGATGAGGAAGCTGAAAACCTAGAGGAACTGAGTGACAAGCCCAAGGGCAGAGCCAGGATGCACCCCCAAGGCTAAGCTGGTCTAACCACGGCTGGCACAGCCTTGATATTAGACACCATAGCTGCCTTTGCCCGGCTCTGTTTAACTGCTTCAAAGCCCCTTGGACTTCTACAAATACCCGATTCTCTCCAGCAAGTGTCAGAGAAAGAAAACATGAAATGGCCATGATGTGCCCAGGTTCCTCAGGGTGGGGACTGTGGATAATTCCCTCTTCCTCTAACGTTCACATCTGTAAAATGGCGTTGCGGATAGGACCAGCAGCCCCAGCTTGTCATGAAGATGCCGTGGGATTTAAAAGTGCTTGGCACAGATTTTGCAAATGAAGATTGCTCTCAGAAGGCTGCCCAGCGTAGCTTTGATGTGTTCCTTCCTGCTTCACTCCTCACCTTACCCCTCACGCCCTCACCTTTGCACATCCACTTTCATGCCCTCATCTCCATACATAGTCAGGGACACACAACTTTAGTCCCCTCCCTCGCCTCTCATGCGTACACACACACACACACACACACACACACACACACACACACACCTTGATCCCCATTACTACCTTACCTCCACTCACACGTTCGGTCCCCTCACTTCCCTTCTCTTACCCCCTCCCATCTTACCCTGACCCTCCATCTCCACCCCTCACCCCCTCATCTCTCACCACCCTTCTAACCACACACACCATCACTTTCATCCTTACACCCCCACCTCTCATTCCCTCACGTTTCATCGCTCACCCCTCACCTTCCCATCCCCACCGCTCACCTCCTCTCCCCACCTCACTCCCCATCCCTCTGTCCCCTCTCCACTGACCCCGGATCTCTGTGTTCTGTTTATGAGCACCTTCTGCTGCAGTATGCTCTAGGCATCACGCACGCAGAGATGCACAGCCGCCTGGACACCAGCAGTTCGCTCTTAATGAGGGGAGGGATGGGGAACAGACACCTCTGCCCTCTCAAGAGCAAGCCAAGACAAGACACTGCAGGTATCCGGAAGAGAGAAGGTCACATCTAGTCCGGCTGGTAGGGAAGACTCAACACAGGAAGGGGCTAGGAGGGTGGGAGGACATTCCCCATGGAGCAAGCGACTGCAGCTGAACAAAGATGGGCGCAGCTGGAAAGGGCAGCGCATCTTCAGGGGCTGGTGAGGAAGCAAGCTGCAACAGCGGCTCTCTGGAGAAGAGGGGTGGGGGCCTTTCCTGGGGGGTGGGAGCCATGAAACAACAGCTGTTGGTGCTCCAGGGCCAGCCCAGGGTGGCCTGATGGAGGGAAAGACTGGCCCCTGGGAGCACTGCCCCAACCCAGCCTTGCCCTGTGATTGCTCAGAACCCCACCTCAGAACAGACTCCATGCCCATAATTCCCGGGGAGATGTGACCAGACTGCCAGACATCTTCCCATGCCCCATGTAGGTCAAGGCTGACCTAACCTGTCTACTTCTCCCCACAATTCCCCATAGTAGGCACCCTGAGACTAGCACCCCATGATTTTCCAAGAAGAGATGTGCAAGGGTCACTTCATAGGATCAAGGAGCCCACCCCAGCCAAGCAGATTTGGGATTAAAAAGGCTAGCTTCCAACATGTGGGGAGGCCATGTTCCCTCCCTTCCCGGCAGGTGACTCCAGGGCATGGCAAACAGCTGGAATACCCAAGAGGCAGCGGGGTAAAGAGGGTACCAGCTATGTGGAGACTGCCCCCACCATACCCTGGGAGGACACCGGCTTTGCCCATCTTGTAAGGCTAGTCAGACCCCTGGGCCCACAGATCTTGCAGGCTGCCCTACTCCTGCTTGGGGGTCACTCTCTCACCGTTCCTGGAAGGTGAGGCGTAAGATAAAGAGCATCCACGTGGAAATGCTCTGGTCTAATGTGCAAGGACGGGACTAGACGCATGACCCCAGAGTCACACTCGTGGTCTCCTCCTTTGGTCCAGTTTCCATCCTTCAGAAGAGATCAGCAGAGTCTAGAGCCCAAGCCACCACCCGAACTACGGCAGAGTTACGGCCTCCGTGAGGCAGAAGAGATCACAGGGCGGAAAGCACTCTGCAAACTGTTAAGTGCGGTTGCAGCGTACGGTGCTTGTTACCTTCAACGCTTACTTGAAGTTCATGTGCATTCCTGAGAGCCACTATCTGAGATGATAAACAGACATGCACAGGACTGAGCGGTGGCATGTCATCTGTCCCTGCATCCGGCAGCAGGGAAAGAACATAGATTTCCTGCCCTGAAGAGAGAAGCCCCAAGGCTACTTACAGGTCGTGCGACCTTGAACCCCACTTGGCCTCTCTGACCCTCAGTTTCTTTTTCAGAAACACACCCTACCTTTTTCGTTCTGGGTTGTGTGGAGCTCGAGCAAGACAATGAATGACTGTGTTCTTAGCGAGGCCAACACCAGATGAGCACCATGGTCTGATAAGGCAGGCGTAGTGTGACAGAAGAGAGGAGGGCCTGGGACTTTCAGGACTCGTATTTAACACTAAAAAGTCACGTCCCTGGGGGTCGGAGCCAGCTGCTGACGGTGCCAGAGCCAGAGCCTTTTGTCTCTCCTACCCTCGACCTGTCTCTAAAGGTAACATTGCGCCCTTGATGCTCGGCTCTCAGACACACTTCATCAAGGTGTCTAAGGCGCACCCTCCCATCGCTGGACGCTGACTCAGCCCCCCTGAGCTCCATCTCCCCTTTCACTCTGTGGGTGCCAGAAGTCTCTTGGCCAGTCACCAGCATCCCCCATACTTCACTGTTCTTCTGGTGGCAAAGGAGAAGGCCAGGCTGGATCTGTTTCAGTACTAAGATTTCTCCCGATACCTAGGTGAGCTGTCCACCCTCCCTGGGTCATTTAAGCCAGCACTGTACTTGGCTCAGGGTGGGCGCACTCAACAGCAAACACAGGCCAGCGGGCAGGTCCTGGTGAATGGAGTATGTGGGTTGCTCTGGAGACCCTGGCAGGTCCCTGTTAGGGAAGCAGGACCATCGTGTTTGGCCGTGCTGCCTGGGAAAATCTTGGGTATCCTCAATTTCCACAGTTGGAAAGGTAATAGGAAGACATTGACTGTGGAACACTTGAGCCCACAGGCGTAAACACGATTAAGGAAGTCCACTAAAACCCAGAATAAAGGATAACAAATACTTGGGAAAGACCTCACAATAAGAGTAAAGAGCCGCGGTCCTCTGCTCTGTGGGCGCTGGAAGCCGTGAACAGAACTCCAGCCTCACCCTTGAGAGCGAGCATGCTTCCCATCTGTGCTTATCAGTCCATATATAGTGCTTCAGACCACGCCCTAACAGGCTGGTGCCCAAAAGGCTATGGGCCGAATGAAATCCCACAGCACACAGGACGTGGGTGCGAGCTCAGAGATTTCACTCAACAAATATTTCCTGAGCGCCTGCCATGGGCACAACATGGAGGAAGGGTTCTACTCTGATGGAGCCAACGTTCCGGTGGAACCAGAGCGAGCAGGGGAGGGGGGCAAGAAGACAGACCCTAGGAGAGCTGTGGGGCTAGATGGGGGACCGTGGAGAAAGAGTAAATGGCACAGATATGAGGAGGACTTGAAGGAGGGGGGGGAGAAAGCCAGCTGTGTGGCTGTCTGGACCAGCATCCCACCTGGAGAGTGCAGCGAGGGCAAAGTCCCTAAGACAGACACGCGGCCTTTGGCGTGACAAGGAGGCCGCTTGGGTTCAGGAGAGACAGGCAGTTTCAACTCTTGTCCCAGTTCCCTGGCAAAAGATCCAGTAGGTTTGCTGGTAACCCCCAGGTGCACTGGTAGCCTCACCCCAAGTGCTGTAGAGATTGTGTTTCCTACTAGCAGACAGTTGCCTCAACTCTCGGTGACAGAGGCTCCTCCAGGGACCACTCACAAGGGTGCTCTTGGAAGAGCAGAACGATGTCCGGGCTCAGGCACCCTCACGGGATACTGCTAGCCCTCAGGAAGCCTCTCTCTCTGAGCTGCAGTTTCTCTTACGGTCCGCATCTGTTTCTCCTCTGTGAAGTGAGTGACCAGCAGCATGGCTTCCCATGCCAGACTCACCTGGGTTGGTTTTTTTGTTGTTGTTTGCTTTGGTTTTGTTTTTCGTTAGATGTCAGGTTGTTGTTTAAGTTAATGGAGTCATTAGTGGGAAATTTCCTTTTACGTTGAAATACACAAGGTAAATGTCAGGGAGATTTTTCTTCAGCCGGGCCCTTAGTTTAGGGATTGCGCCTAGCTGCCCACTCCCCTCAACCAGCCTGCTCCTTGAACTGTGTTCTACATGGCTCTGATCCACTTTCTCTAGCCTCAGTTTCTTTCTGGTCCAGGGCTTCCTGGTGCAAGACTCCTTCCTGGGGCCAAGTTACTCTGCGTTGCAATAGACTTTGAGCCCATTGCCCTGCTCCAGTGAGCTGAGTGGACCCAGCCACTCACCCTCAAAATCCTCTCCCTGTTCCTTCTCCAGGTACAACGGCCCCAACCTGGTTTTGAAGTACAATCGAGCCCAGAAGCGGCTAGTCAACATTGCGGTGGATGAGCGCAGCTCGCCCTACTACGCGTTGAGGGACCGGCAGGGGAACGCCATTGGGGTCACAGCCTGTGACATCGATGGGGATGGCCGTGAGGAGATCTACTTTCTCAACACCAATAACGCCTTCTCAGGTGAGGGTCAGTTTGTCGGTCCCCTTCCTGCCCCGATTACATCTTCCTTTCTCTGACAGTCCTTGCTCAGGCCACTCTCTGCTGCCTCCAGGATCTCCCTGTGCTGGGCAGAGACCCCAGGATGGCCCTTCAATCTCCTGTGATGGAGACTGGATTTTCATCCTCGGTTCCCTGGGCAGGGGCAGAAGGGCATGAAAAAGACTGGCCACCCTTTTCTCCTGCAGCCTAAGACATCCTCCTCCCCGCCTTCCTGCCCTCCTCCTCTCTTCCCCTCCTGCCATCCCACCACTTCTGTCTGGTCCTCCATCTCATCCCCACTCCCTTAGGTTACCTCTGAAATCAATAGTGTCCCTGGGTCATTCCCATGCTACCCTAGGCCTTTCTCAAATGCTTTGCGGTCCTTCTAGCATCTGCCTCTTCCCTTTAGACCACTGCAAGAATTTCTCCCACAGATTCCTGTGTGCCAGACGGAGCCTCTGGGTGTCAGGGAGGTGATGGGGCTGCAACCCTGAGGGAGGCTGACCTTGAGTTCTCGGAGCCTCCTCCAGCTCCTTTCACTCTGCCACCTGCATCCCTGCTCCCTGAGGGTCTGTGTTAATGAATTCTGGCTCCCCAGGTCTCGGGTGAGCCTAGTGTTCCTGACTGCTCCTGGGCTACCCGGTGCAGACAGCCCAGAGATGGCAGGGAAACTGATGTCCATCAGCCTAGTGGTAGTTCATATAAAGAACGCCCTGCCCCCCCCCTCGCCAATCCCACCCTCAGAGCACAGTTAGGAATGCATTAGTAGTCTTATACTGAAGAAATTGGATGCTAAGGGTATAGCTCACTCACCGAAACCTGGCAACCTTCAAGTCCCAGGATTCAAACCCAGGGTCCCACCCAGTGTCTCTCGCATCGAGACACTATAGCTCTTCTCAACCCTCCTTCCCTAGGGAGCCTGGCTATAGTGTACACACAGCATCTCATAAGTTAGGGGCTATATTCTTGGGACTGCAGATCACCCCTACCCTTGACCCACATTTACTCAGACCTAAACTGGACTCACTAATAAACCCACTCCTGTAGGGCTGTTAGTTAACATCCTAGAGCATCCTCCACCACAGTGCCCCCTGGAGGTAAGGCTGGGTATGCACGGGCCCCTTCCAGATGGCGGCAGACTTGCTCTAATCTGTCCTTCATGTTTCCACAAACAAGCGCTGTCCTGGGCTCTCCAAGGTCCGGGAGGCTGCAAAGTGCCAGGCTCATATGGGACCCTGCCCGCCCCCAGCACCCCTCACCCCCACACACAGACTTTCCCCAGCTGCCAGTCCCAATCCCGCATCCAGCCCAGGCTGTCCCTGGAGTTTGAATTCAGCCAGTTGCAAGAATGAGAGGTGAAGAGGTTGAGGCCTTGTGCCAGGGGCTGGGGTGGGCGGGCTGGCTGGCTGGTAGCCAGTCTTGTGCCGCCAAGAAACAACGAGCCACAGCCCCGAGTGGTGTTTTATGGGTTTTCATCTCCTCGTGCCACCGAGTGAGGCCTGAGAGATGGTAATTATCCCAACACAAATATCAGGGCATGATTACCCAGCTGGATTTACTGCCCTCTCTCCACCAAGCCGAGATTGGATTAGGGCGCGATTAATTGATGGGCTGATCCACTCTTTAATGTGGGGCAAGGTCAGGAAAAGAGCAGAGCCTAGGATGCCTGCAGAAGGGACGAGTCCCCAGGAAGGCCCTGGATGGCTAGGAAGCAGGAACAGGGATGACCGCCCTAACTGGACTCTGCTGGCAGGATGCCAGAGAAGGGGACAGCCTCCCCCAAGTCACAGCACCTGGAGGAGACCCTAGGGCCGTCTCCAAGGCAGCAGCCCCGCCATGCTCTTAGAGTGCTCGCTGTGAATCCGAGAGCAGAGAAAGGCTCTGTGCAGCTTCCTAGGGAAGGGGGTGTGGTAGCCTCCAGCTGTGGTGCCACAGCCAAGAAGGCTGGAAGCAGGCTAGGACCCCATTATCATACTGTGACACTCAACTCTCAATCCTCACCGCAGCCCAAGACGATGGTCACTCCCTGGGAACCATGCCAATTCTGCGTTCAGCCAAACAATGAGTGTCTCCCATTGATGTACTCATTTCCTGGACAAATTGCTAGTGACCACCTACTGTGTGTCAGCCTTGTTCTAGGCACTGAGGATGCCTCAATGTGTGGAACACAGAAGTCACTCTTCCAGAGGTCTGTGCTTTTTCCCGGTACAGCCCAGTCTCTCGCAGCCCCTGACATCCTTTCCCAGTCCCTAATTTCCAAGGCCCACGAGAGAAAACCTCTATATTGGTTACTGTGTGACTCCCAGTGGCCCAGCCAGGCCTTTACTATCCCGGGAGCTTAATTAAAATTGAATAAATAAGTCTCGGGAAGAAAAGGTGAGCAAGCCACTGCCTAAGAAGAGGAAAGCCAAAAGAGATGTCGGGGGAGCCAAAAGACCTGGCTCCGGGAGAGAGGCCCCAGGCCACCCGGAGGGGCAGGGGCGAGGACAACAGTGCCCAGCAGCCTCAGCCCTGAGTGCGCACCTCCTGGTGACCTTCTGTGGGTTTGAGGGATGTCTGTGGGTTTGAGTTAATTTTGTAGTTGAGTGAGCCATTGATTCATCAACAGGGGGTGGCATGAAGCAGGGACGTTTGTGCTTGTCAGCACTCCTGGGGTCCAGCCCAGACAGCACTCAGCCATTACCACCCTGCCCTCTGTGGCGGTCATGAGAGCTTCCTTGGGAGCCTTAGCCAGCCAGTGAAGTCACATGGCCTTTGGGGTGCTGACAGTGTCTCTCCCTCAGCCAGATTTTAGGGTGTTAGCAGCGAAGTCAGTGGAGGTGCCTGGGACCTTGCAACGCCCTCTGGGAGTCAGTCCAGGGTGACCTTAGATGAGATCTTGACCCTTCTGTCTTCCCTCTTCTATAGAACAGAAACCGTATGGACCTTACAAACCCTCCTGCCTTCAGCGACTCTGCAGACCATATTCAAGGTCCTTTCGGGTTACCTGCCACCCTTCCCGGTGCAGCCAGATTGCTGGGCCACCCTTTTCCCCTTTCTCCCACTCACTACAGCTTTGCCTGAAGTTCAAACTTGCTTTTCCTGCTGATATCCCAGGGCTCACGCTTCAAATAAGGTCTCTCTGAGCACCTGATCTCAAGTCATGCCCTCCTTTCTTTAACTGGTTTATCTGCCTTCCTGCCGCTGACTCTTGTCTGGAAGTGGGTTGTGTGCTAGCTCTGTCCAGCTCTCCTGCTTTGTCTTACTCCCTGTTGTACTCCAGAACCCAAAGAGGTGCATCAAATAGAGACTCTTGAGTGGACAGCTGGAGTAAAGGGTGAAGAGAATCTGGTTTGCATTGCATTTGCCAAACAACCCTGGCAGCACGGGATGATGCTGTGGTAAATGGGGGTCCCAGCTGGGCATGGCTCAAGGCTTGGGAATTGGAGAGGGAACAGGAGAAGAGAACTAACCACCCTCCCAAGAAGGGCAAGGCCTGGAAACCCACTTGTGCTGAACTGACCTGGAAAAGGGTCAGCCAGGTTGTGTGCACAGAACAAGGAGGGGACAAGAGGCAGCCAGAGTCCGGGACCTCCTTCAGTTCTTGGGCAGATTCCTCCCCATGGATTTCCCACCCTGACTCCCCTTGGCCACTTCACCACCTGGCCCTGACGGGGAGCACGCTGATAGGTGGGTCAGCATCAACTGTGAACCGAGGGCTTATTTTCTTTTCACTCATTCAGTGATGAACATAGCACTTTTGTGTGCAGGGCAGACACCATTGCAGTCCATGTCCAGGAGAATCTCCCTGTTCTGTGACTCCTCTTTGAAAAGTTCTCAACCATGTTCTTGGGGTGTGTCTTGTCTTCCCTTGAGGACCTCTATTTCAACCCTTATGCTTAACCCTATATTAAAATGTCTCTATTGAACCCCAGCTCTGCTTCATAGACTTTCCCCTCTCGTATGCACACAGCATGCCCTGCTCATACTTCTGCTGTTTGTTTTCAGCATACTTCGGATATTACTTCACAACATACAGAAGGCGCTCACTCTCTTGGAGGGCTGCATAGTACTCCCGTGTATAGATTTGTCACTCCTCTATGGGGGACACTGAGATTGCTGGAAGTTCCTTTCTCCTTACAGAGAATGTCACTTAATGAATGAGTTTGTACGCTCCACCATTTCCCATGATTGCGCAGATATTTGTAAGATAAGCGTTCAGGAACACAGTGACTGTGTCAAAAGAATATACACGTGGAGCTCAGAGTGCGAGATTGCCTTCCCTGGGGACAGCGCTTGCCACACTGCTCCCGTGTCCAGTGAGCACACACATTCCAGAGCTTACCAACACCGTGTTTCATCAATTTTGTTTTCAGTATTTGCCAATCTGATAGGAAAAAATTGATTTCCAAGTGTAGCTTTAATTTTCATTTTTCTTAAATGAGTGAGGCCGAGAATATTTTTACATATTTGACTCTCTTGTCCTCTCCTAGCCTTTGCCCATTTTTTTCCTATTGACTATTGGTCTTTTTCTTATTGATTTGGAACACCTCTTTATAAATTAGGAAAATTAGCCCTTTGTCTGAGACTCACGTTACATTCAAGTCCTCCGGTTTGTCATTTTTCTTTTGTCTTTGCTCAGAGTGGGTTTTGTGATGGAGAAAACTTTCACTTTTACACACTGGGATTCTGACTTGGCAGTTCGTAAGCTGTGTCACACCTGCAGGGGCCTTTTACAGGGACACTCGTAACCTCCCGGAGAGGAGACAAGGTGTCAGTTACCACACTAGAGGGAAGAAAGAAGCTCTGGGCCGGCTGCACTTCCAGCCTCCCCTGCCTACACAGCAGATGGGCCATCTGCTCTCTAGAGATGCAGCCCTGGCCGGCAGCTCCTTCAGCCAGGCTGACTGCAGCTGCACCCAGAGACCCTGCACCTCACTCCCCGGGGTGTGACGCTGGCATGGCAGCTTTGGAACCAGCTGGAAACTCAGAAAAAAGCGCAAGTTCTCGCAAGCTTTCCCCCACACCTGCTAGCTCAGAACCCGCACTGCCATCTCCAGGAGCTCCCTGTGCCCTGTGAAGCCCAAGGTGTAGTTTAATGGATGTCATCTCATTTATTTCTGAGTCTCCACCCTTTCCTCAGACCCTGAAATGGATCCTCTGGATCCCCAGCCTATTTTCCCTTAGATCCGGAGTCCTGGTTCTCAGCTGTCCCAGCCTGGCCCCATTTCAAAGATGAGTTCAGAAACTGTTCACTCCCTGGCCAGCCTGTATTGTGCCTCATCCCGCGTGGCCAATGAGCAGCATGCCTGGAGAGAGGCTGCCAGGGCTGCACCACAGAGAGTGGGAAATCCAGGTGTTGTGACATCTGCCTGTGGTCTCAGCACTGAGGAGGCAAGATCAGGAGTTCTGGGCCATCCTTAGCTACACGGTGAATTTTGAGGATAGCCTAGGCTATATGAGACAATGTTTTCAAAAACAAAAATTGGGGACTGGGGTGATGAATCAGTAGAGTACTTCTGAGTTCAATCCCCAGAAGCCACATAAATAAGTCAGGCTCCATAGCACACTTCTTATCCCAACACCAGGAAAGCAGAGACAAGCAGATCCCTGGGGCTGGCTCACTGGACAGACAGCCTGGCCCACTAGGCATGCTCCAAGCCAGAAGAAAAAAAAACCCATCTCAAGGTGAACAGCCCCTGAGGACTGAGGCCCGGTTGCCCTCTGACCTACACATGCATCACACACACAAACGCACACGGATCTTGGATTCTGGAGTTCATCGCCGTGGTCTTAGCTAAGGACCCGCTAGCCTTGTAACACTGAGTGAGAGGGCTGTGCCACCTTGTGCCAGTTTGGAGCTGGGCATTGCCATCCGGCAGCAGCTGTGCAACTTCAGGCAAAGGAGCTGATTCCCGAGCCCCAATTTGCCTGTGTGTCCTGAGTCTTCTTGGGGAGATGCTGGAGGAGGCGAAGGATGCTGGCAGAGGAGCCCTGCAGAGTTTCCCTCTTCATTCTGGGGTAGAGTGAGGAAGAAGAGGTCAGGAATTCTACCAGGGCCCCTGTGAGCCTGAGTTCATTCTTTTTAAACACATCCTATGACTGAACTAGTTCTCTCCCCTGGGGCCATCACCGCTCTGCTGGCTCTCCACTGACTGAGCCTTGAGAGGCATTTGAAACTTAATGTCCACGGTTGACTCCTGGGATGTGGTTTGCTGAGGACTGACCTGGTCATATGCTATAATTCCCAGGAGGACAGGGAAGCAGTGGACAGAGATGATCTTACTGTGTATGGAACTTATCTTGTATCTGGTATTATTGGAAGCACTTTGCAGACATCTGCACAGAAGAGCCTGACTGAGAGGTAGCCATTCCCATCTTCCCATTTCATAGCTAAGAGTGCACGGCTCGCCAAGACGTTGCTGGCTGTCACGCAGCCACCAGCTGTTTGGTGGTAACCTTCCTGCCTAAGAGTTCCCAGACTTACCTCTATGATGTTGACCTCCAGAGATTCCCTCCCTGCCCCTGGACGTCCTTTTCCAGGGCCCCATCCTTTCTGTTCTCCTCCAGGGACTCAGGAGAGCATCTTTGCATCTTTTGATCATGCTACTGACAACCTCTCCTCTTTCTGAGTACTAGCCTGCTTTGGTGTGGGGCCCTGGGGCAAAGTGCAGCTACAAGGAGCCAGGAGGTAAGGCCCACTTCAGCACCAACTTGGGCCGGGGGCCAGTGCCGGGTGTTTATTGCCTGTGCCATCGACCCACACAGCTTGCTGTTTATCTGTCTTCCTGACACACCTAATTACCCAGGTTGCAGCTGCCAGCGCGTTTGCTCTTCCTAAATCACGGGGCTCCCAACCCTCCTGTCGCCCAGGCCTCCAGGCCTCTGCCTGCAGAGGGGCTGCCATTGATTTTGCCGTTCCCCTTTATGATCTACAAGGCTCCACATCGCTGTTCACATTTTACCTTAATTAGTTTATTCTTCTGGGCCTCTCTGGTGAGCCCAGAAGCCACACAGGACCAGTGAGAGGGACGGACCAACAATACAAGATACCCAAACTCCTGACTACAAGCCTAAAGCCTGCTCAGACTTGAGCACCCTAAATGGTGACCTGCGAAGCCAGAGCCAGTTTAGCTACTGGGCAGTCTCCAAAGAAGGGTTCCAAGACCAAGGACATCTGGGAGACACTGGGCTCAATAAAATTAAGCAGACAATTTTTTGCAATCATTTTGAAGTTTTAATTAGTTGATATCTATTGAGAGGCTTCCAAGGTTGGGCAAGTATACAATCTTTCCCAAACATGGAGGCTCATGGAATTCTTGCTCCAGGCTGCCCTGCAAACCAGGCTTGCCCTGCCCAAGTTTTGGTGGAACACCTGTGGTGTCATTTCAGAATGTGGGTAGGAAAGTTAAGTGGGCCCCAGTGGGAATGAGATGGACAAGGGTTGCTCTCAGCTAAGGAAGGCCGGAGACCTGCAGGGGCCACCTTTAGAGACCCCGGGCATCTAGAAGCAACGGCAAGTTTCCTGCTGCCTCACATATCACAGTGATGGCAGCCACAGTCTAAGCCATTTTCCATAGACCTGAAATCCAGAACACTCTGGAAGCCTCCAGCACCTTGTGGAAGTTTGTGGAAAATTCACTAGATAACAAACCCTGTCCTGAGCTGATGTGAGCTATTTATAAGCCTTATTTATCCCCCTTAATGTGAATATTCATGTTTCACTGCAGAAATATTAATGTGTTTAATTATGGGGTGCCGCCCCCAGTCCCTGCTGGGGGTGTTATGTAATCAACAGTGTTCGTACCATGTTTCCTTCCTAGAAGCTGAAGTCAGAATCTAGGTTTCTAAACACATTGGGCTCCCCAGGGAGTTCAGTGAGGGCTCTGTCCCTGCAGGGGTGTGAAGCTGTCACTGTGCTCTCTCATCCTGTCTGATCTGTGACCTGACCGCATGTGTGTCTTCTCACTAGTGCCAGAGTGACGCTGTGAGTGAGGACAGCTGTCACCTGTCGTTCTCAGATGAGGAAAGTGAGGCCAGGAAAGGAACCTTAGACTTCACACGCATGCATGCACGCTCACACATGTACACACACATACATAACATACTCACACCACCCATACACACACAACACACATACATAGAGAGAACATACACACACAACACATACATGTGCAACATAAACACACAACACACACACAGAACATACACACAGAGAACATACATATTCAACACACACATACACACACACACATACACACATATAAACACCACACACATACACAACACACATACACACACAGAACATAACACACATACACAACATACACACCCATACACACACAGAACATACACACACGTACAAACGCAACACATGCACATACACACACAACACACACCAGTGTCCCTCCCAAGACACATCAGCTTTGTGCAAGCCTGTGTCTGTGGCTCTTCAGAACCCCCACCTGAAAACACTGCACGTCTATTAGTGACCCTCCCTGGTCCCTCACGTGGGTGTGCTGGGAGCCACCTGGTGGGCTGTGTACACAGTGTTCCACCTGCACGTGTTCACACATGCATCTACACTCCCCCACACACCCTCATACACATCCATTCTCAGTCTCCCACCGGGGCACCGTTGCTCCTGTGCGTCCTCACACACTCAACTGCACATGCTCTCACGCTCACACTGACTTAAGCTCACCTGAACACCCGCTTTCACTCATCTCACTTGTACACCCCAGTCTTGCACACTTACCCATTCTCATGCTTGCAGTGAATTCACACACTCATGCCAACACACTTGCTTTTACATCCTCTCTCCCAGAATCACTGACTACCAAGCCCATGAAGTGTGGATCTTGCAAGTAGCTCATCTCTAAAATAGGGAAATCATTTCTGCCTAACAGTAGCTACCTTTAGGGGACACTGTGCCAATCATTTAAAGTTCAGCATCTCCGTCATTCCTCATAGGGAACCTGAATGGGGTTACTGTCATCCCCATTTTACAGATAAGAAAAGTGAGGTTTAGAGATGCGGAGAACCTGCCCAAAGTCTAGAATCTATGTCTGAGATTGGAACTTTTGCTCACTGATTCTAAACCTCAGGCTTATAATCACTGCTCCACACTGTCTTCCCCCAGCCTGAGGCTCTCTCCTGGGGGCAGCCAGAGTCAAGTTCACAACTGGAAGCAGAAAGGAACCTTACCTGCAGAGGGCCTCCGTGCATGGAACCACCTGACCTCTGGCCCCAGCCACCTTATGGTAATGCCAGGAGACAGAAACTCCTGGTCCCCTGCCCACTGTCCACCCACCTCTCTCTCTCCCTCTCTCCAGGTGTGGCCACATACACAGACAAGTTGTTCAAGTTCCGTAATAACCGGTGGGAGGATGTCCTAAGTGACGACGTCAATGTGGCCCGTGGAGTGGCCAGCCTCTTTGCCGGACGCTCCGTGGCCTGTGTGGACAGGACGGTGAGTGCAGGGGCACCTGCGGGCCTGGGAGGAAGCAGAGGAACCCTGGATGTGAGAGCCAGGAGAGGACTCATCAGGTAGACACCCCTCCCCGAATAGTGACAGCCACCTTGAGGACAGAGCCCAGGGCTGTACCACCTTAGTAGCTGCCAACGTCCCACACAGTGGAAGCAAATTACTAGGAGCCCAGGCTTGTGGGGCAAGTGAAAATATATCTTTCACATCCTTCTCTTGTGCAACCCTCCCAGTGACCCATGTGCAAGCAACACAGGGCAGCAGCATCATGAATATCGGATTCTCAGGGAAAGGCTGAGGCTCAGTTTGGAGCAAAGGCTTAACTGGGGACCCAGAATAGATCGGTGACATGCCTAGGACATGGAACCGGGTCCAATACTAAATGGGGTGCTCACTCATTCATTCAACATGCATTGCCTCCGTGAGGCAGGCCCTGAGTCACGTGACCTCCTGGACATATTTATGGGATGTTGAAGGTGCAACAGGTGAGTGCAGAAGTGGTCGAGGCAGGGTTACCTGAATGTTCTAGATCCGTAGTTCAAACAATGGCTCCACCAACACTTTCCTCGTACATCCTACCCAGAGGTGTCCAGCCCTAAACATGGGGAGGCTTGGCTGAATAGAAGTCGGGAAAGAAGTGGCCAGCCGTGACCTGAGCCAGAGCTCTAAGTCCCTGTGAGACAGAGGCTTCTGAGGAAGGGATTTGTCCCTCCTGTCACCTACCTGCTTGGCTCTATAACAACAATCACCAGCGTCCCAGCTGCTGCCCTGTTCCACAGAGCATCTTTGGCCCCAGTTCTGGGGCTGAAGGGGTGGGTTCCAACTTCAGATTGAGATGGCACAGAGGCTTTGGGGATTCAGTGTGAATGTTCGCAGCAGGGGCCTCCAAGCCTTGAGAGAAGGCAGGTGCCAGGTATAAATATTTATTTCTTAACAAGCTGGGCTGTGAAGCCACATTTAGTCCTGACCTGAATCAGTGCCACCTGGACTCCTGCCTGGTGGGAGGGGACAATGAGGCGGGCCTGAACAGCCCTGAGAGTGTGCAGGACCTTGAGTGTCAGGTCTGGTCACAGCTGGGGATCTTGTCTACCCGCCTCCTGCTTCCCGCCTCCCTGGGTCAGTACTAAGCCTCCCACACTGGCCTAAGTAGGAAGTTCCCCCAGAACTGGAAGGAGGAGCTAGAGGTCAATCACAGAGCTGCTGTCTACGTCCCAGCAAGGTCATCCACACAACGGCTTTAACCACAGGACCAAAGCGAGGCAAAGGGAAAGGGGCCAGCACCTCAGCACAGTGGGTGATGTTCAGAAGCTGCCTGCTCCCCACCCGGCCTCACTCCATCCTCCCAGACCTTGGAGAACTGGACAAAATTCTTTCGGTGGGTCACCACGGGGGGGAAAGGTGCTTTCTGAGTGCAGCCACCACCTTGTGAGGAGCGAGCTGAGAGAGGTCCAGGCCAGGGTGGAAACCAGAAGACAGGAATGCAGCGTGGCAGAGAAAACGCCAGAGCAATGGCAAAGGACAAAAGACAAAAGCAGCTCATGCTCGGGCAACTAACCAAGCTTGAAGTCCCTTGCACCGGACTCCTCCTCGTCCAGAATCTTTACAATAAGCCTACGAGGTACAAGCTACCATTATCACCTTCTACAGATATGGAAATGAAGGCTTGGAGCAATTAAATAACTTGACCTTGGTCACACAATAAATGGCAAAAACAACTGGGAATTGAACTCTGCCTGCCTGGAAACAGCACACACCTCTTCATCCCTCCGCTACCCTGGCTCTGGGTACCGTGATAATAGATAGACAGTAAGCGAGGCTTGGCCCCACAGCCCGCACCTAGGGGTGTTTGCCCTGGCGGGTCAGTTGTTCTGAAAGTGTGGTCCCCAGACTATTGTTGGCATACCTACTGTCAGGAAGGAAGGTTCAGAGATGACTTGGCAGGTAAGAGTGCTTGCTGCCCAAGCTTTAGGACCTGAGTTCAAATCCCCAGAAGCCATATTAAAAACCCAGGCATGGTTCTGCAAGCACTTGTAATCCTGGCGCTGTGGGGTTAGAGGCAGGAGGATCTACGGGACTTACCGGCCACCAACCTAGCTCCTGTCTCAGGAGATTATGGTAGGCAGTGATAGAACAGGACACACGACTTCCTCCTCTGGACTCTGCATGCGCTGGCCTCCAGACCACCTCAATCAGAAACGCCCGGGGGTAAGGTTCAAAGACACAGTTCAGTTCAGGGGGACCTATGAAAGGTTGTGATGTGTGCTGAGGTGAGTATGACCCCAGCCCAGCCACACACCCCTTACTCATGCCAGTTCCAAACCTGGAGCACCATCCTGCCCTTTAGCCCCAGCTGCCTCACCGCACACACTCACCTTCCTGGATGGAGCTCGATGCTGACCTCTTACAAGAAGCGTCCCCTGGTCAATAACGGTTATGCCTCATGTTTACATAGCATTTTTATCTTCTCAAAGACGTCGTCTCATTTCATCTTCTCAATCACGCTGCCAGGAAGCAGGGGGAGTCTGCTCCCCATTTAGCACACACAAGAGGCAGCCTACAGCCCTTGATGGATGTGCCCAAGACTGAAGAGTCATCCAGGGCCTGAGGCTAGACCAGACTTGGCTAATGCCTCTGACTGGTGTGTTTTAGAGTCGGGAGTCACTAGGCAGCAGCAGCAACATAGCCTGGGAATCTGTTTCCCTTGCCCTTTTCCTAGTACTTCTGGGCTTTGAACCGAGGGCCTTATTCATGCTGGGCACCCACTGGACCACTGAGCAATAGCCTCTGCATCACCTGGAAGTCTGTTAGATACGCACATCCTCCAGGTTCTTTCCATATGTCTTGAGTCAGAATCTCCGGGAATGGGGCCCGGAGTCTGTGGCAACAAGCTTTCCAGGTGATTCTGATGTTAGCGCTGGATCCAGCATCCATAAATACTGCCTGTGTAGACCCAACAACCAGAAACACCTCCTCTCCTGTGCCCTGCATTAGACCCAGCATCCAGGAACACCTCCTGTGCCCTGGTGTAGATCCAGCATCCAGAAACACCTCCTGTGCCCTGACGTAGACCCAGCATCCAGAGACACCTCCTGTGCCCTGGTGTAGACCCAACAACCAGAAACACCTCCTCTCCTGTGCCCTGCACTAGATCCAACAACCAGAAACACCTCCTCTCCTGTGCCCTGTACTAGACCCTGCATCCAGAGACAGCTCCCATGCCTGGTGTCATCTCCCCTCTTAGAATTACTGTGGTCAGGCTCGCGTGTGAATTTCCACAATCGTCTACACCTATAACACGCCTGTCTATGCTTATCTGTCTTATCACCCAGGTAAATTGAAGTAAGGATCTAGGTATAACTGAATTTTATAAATCTTCTAATTTGCGGCAGAGTGCATTCAAGCCCATGTGGGCTTAATTGCCCATTTGTCGATGAGCGTGCTAGCAGCTGGTGGGGTCAGGAATGGTTCACCATGGTGCACTTTTCCGTTTGGCCCTTTTCTTTCTCGCTTCGTCCAGACCCTGCACAAACGCATATGGAGCTCCTGGGATGGATGAGAGTGAGAACCTTTCAAAGGTTCCGCTATTGAGACGCCAGTGGATTGTAAAGCACCCCACACTTCGCTTTTGCCTAAGTGTCCTGTGGGGGTCTTACTGAACTACAGGTTCTTGTTAAACAGGTCTGGGGTGGGCCGTGAGATTCCACAGTTCTGAAACTGGCTCCCAAACGGCATTGGGGTGCTGACCCAGGGACCACTCTGAGTAATGGGACCTATAAAGCACTGATTGACAGATAACAGATTGAGACTCGGATAACCCAAAGAGAAGGGGCGCCAAAGGTGAAGTCTCCAACTTCATCTCCTACTCCTTCCTGCTTTGTGTTTTACCTCTGGCAAACCGGACCAGCAGTCAAGCTTTCTGTGCATGCACCATTTTCCTGTCTCTGCCCACAAAGGTCTTTCCCTCCGCCTCACTGGCTGGGACCCCTCTTAGAAAAATCTTTTCTAAAGTTCCCATAGTGACACTCCCGCCTCCAGACTGCGAGCCTCTCTTCTGAGCAGCCAGGAAACCCTATGCCTGCATCTGCCATGCACCTGTGTGCTTTTGACACCTCTGTGTCCCCTGGAGACTCTAAGCTCCTTCCATGTCCCCACCCACCAAGTCACCCTTGCTTGAGTGTCTCTGGGTCAGCTTCCCCACCACCAAAGAAAATGGTCCAAAAATAGGTGTGAAGTGAGTGATCAGGATGGTCCTGGTCACGCTGCCTCGGGATGGGAGAATAAACAAGCAGAGGTCAATAGGATGACAGCATCCGCTTGCCACCTGAGGCTCCGCTGCTTCTCTTTTCTCTCTGGCTGGCCGCCCACACTAGACTCTAAGCCACCTAAGGACAGGGACAGGGAGCTCAGAATTTATCAAAGAACACTTCATAAACAGTGAGGGCTTGAGGAATAACTTCCGGAGGGAGGTGATGAAAATAAAAAGATAATATGGAGGCTGGGGACAGATTTGGAAACTGTGTATCTCCTGGGAAGGAGGAGACATCCACCAGAGAAATAACGCCATTCTAATAACGGGCAGAAAGGAATCTTTTATCAGCAGGGTTTAGACTACTGAAGAGAATGGCCGCTGAAGGAGACGCCAGTGCCCGGGGCTTCTCTGAGATACAAAGACAAAGAAAGGGGGTAGGATTATAAAGGCCGAACCAGTGAACTATCTCTTCCTAGAAATACGGGGAGACAGGAAAGGAAGGAGGATGGAAGACCTCATGGATCTGCGCCTTTCCTGCAAGGAGGAGAAGGAGCAGGCTCAGGAATTTGCTTGTCATCTCGGCTGGAGTGGGCTTGAATGGGAGCGAGAGACGGAGAATAATGGGAACTGGTAGATCAATCAATCAGCAAATATTTATTGAGCAGCTACCCTGGCTGGCAGCTGGAGCGAGCTCAGCTGGAGGGAGGCACATTAGAAAATTGTCTATAAAAAGGTGGTTGTGGGGGAGAGGGAGAGATATGTTCTTCTGGAACAGGATAGAACAAGCAAGGCTGCTTTGTTGTCTGGCTCGGGAAGTGAGCACCAATTCACAACACAGCCTTTGTCATGAGCACCTCTTGGGGTTGTAGCCCACACAGACTTCAACCCACTGACAAAGCTATGGTCCCTAGGGCAGGAAAAACTGGCAGGGAAGCCAGGGCTAAGATGGGGCTTCTCACCCTCCTTCCTCCCATTCCTCCTCAGGGCTCCGGACGATACTCTATCTATATCGCTAACTATGCCTATGGTGATGTGGGGCCCGATGCGCTCATTGAAATGGACCCTGAGGCCAGTGACCTGTCCCGGGGAATCCTGGCACTCAGGAATGTGGCGGCTGAGGCAGGGGTCAGCAAGTACACAGGTATGCAGACTTTATTGATGTTTTGGAGTGGAGGGGCTGGGACTGGGGTCTTAGGCCCTGCAGAGCTGTGTCTAGTTTATCAGCAACCAGGACAGAGAAGGTTTATAATCACTGAGCAGAGGTGAAGCCATCATTCCCTCCCACCACAAATGCTGCTCCTCCAAGGGGAGGTGAGATGCCTGACAAGTGTGAGCTTGGGGGGCTGGGGAGCACCGTACAACAGGCAGAGGGGCTTGCCAACACCTGAAAAGAAAAGAACACCATGCCATCCTGTCCCCGCAACCTCTTGCCCCCTCCCCTGCTCTAACCCCAGCGATGAGTGAGCAGATTGCGTTGGAGAAAACTGACAGATCACAAGAACCGAGATTTAAAGCTTTCTTTATTGCCCAACAGCAGATGAAATTATTTACTTACACATAAGCGGCCAGGAATTGAGCGCTAAGTCCCTAAGCTTCGGCTGGGTCCCGTCTCGGATAACTGAGTTCAAAGAATTGTGTTCTTGTTCCAAACCCTCTCCAGCACTTTTTATGGAAGGTGCGCTCCCCCCTCCGGTTTCTGGATGGGGGTTATTGTCAGAGCTTCTGACAGGAGCTCTTTCTAGGGAAGGCTGTTTTTCTAATTCCAGCAGGGATGCTGACTAAACTCTGATAATCTGCCAATAGGCTGTTGATGGCAGAGCCATCCAGTTCCTGTTTTCGGTGCCAAAAAATCAGGAAGCCAGGGCTGTGCATAACAACTCACCCTCCTTCATACCCGCCCTGCAGTTGGGTGTAGAAATTCTCCCGTTAGCTAGCCTTCCCCATACATCTGTTCCAAGTTATCCTCCAGACACCACCCAAGCTGCAGCCGGGCTGAGCTGGAAGCGTGGAGATGGAAAGTGGGCATGGGGCATCGTGTGGGCATCACCTTTCCTCCAGACACTTGGCTGGTAGCAGCTCTCAAAGCTCCACCCAGGAAAGGTTATCCTGACCTGCTAGGAGTTGATGGTGCCCTAACCCATCCAACTTGCCACCTCCGTCAAAGACGGAGATTAATACTGATCTATCTGACAAATTTCGTGGGGGCAGATGACTAGACAATAAAGTAGTCTGCGTGGCTCAAGCCCCATCAGAGTGCCTGAGAGCCCTGGGCGTGAACGCGCCTCAGAAAGGCTGAGTGTCAGTAATAAACCACGTTTCCCTGGGAAGGAGAATAAACATGAGGCGCTTCAGCCTAGATTGGTACAGTCAATTTTTCTGAGGAAGCTCCCAGTTCTGTGTACTGGGCTGGCTTGGCAATTAAGTGCCTTGATCTTGCAGGAGAGGGAGGGGTGTGGGCTGGGGGATGAAACACTTGAAAATGATGAGACGGAAGGGAGGCAAGGACCGGGAGAGTGCATTCCACACAGAATGGAAGAATTCAGGAGGCTGGAGCATGAAGGGGGCATTGTTCACGCTGGCTGGGCTGGCACAGAACCCAGGAGGGAGAAAGGGGGGCCAAGCAAAGACAGCTGAGGAACAGAGATGCAATGAGAGCCCCAGCCAACTGTGCCGGCCATGCTGGAAGGATAGGGCAACCCAAGGCACGGGCAGCAGCTTCGGGCAGCAGCTTCTGTGGAGGCATGGAGGAGGCCAGGGCAGCTGGCATGCCCAGAGGACACATAAGAGCAGTTCTACAGACTTCCAGAAAGCCATTTGGCTGGCAAGAACCAATTTGGCCCGCCAGGTTACAGTTCTGTCTGCCCGCCTTCCTCAGCCCCCCAACACTATCCTTCAACCCCCACTTGTCACTCGGTTAATGACACACGGACATCTGGCCGGAAAATAGCCCCTGAGTGCTCCCTGGAGCCTTAAGAATGAACCCCAAATGTAAGGGCTACTATGCTGAGCCCAGCCCAATGGCTAAGACTCTGGGCAGGTGGCCAGTGCTCCTCGCCAGAACAGTGGAAGGGGTCTGAGAAGCCAGGAGGAATCAGCAAGGCCTAAGCAGGCTGGAGAGAAGCAAGCGGGGGCCAGATGTGCTTCAGGGATCCAGGGCCTCTGCAGCCAAGCCACACAACCCCCGTTTTCTGGAGCAACCATGTGGCCTGGGAGGTCCTCCCATTTGCCAAGGGATCAAACTAGGTCCAAAGAGCAGAAAGGACTCACCCAAGGTCACTTAGGAGATTTATAGAAAAGCAGCACTTTTCCCTAGCTCCTGATGCTCAAACCAGCCACAAGCAGCTGGCCTTTTTAATGACCTCCAACTTGAGCATCCTGCTCCAAGCTGGTAAAGGGAAGGCCCCTCACCCACTGGGCACACATTGGCAGATAGGCCCTGAACTGTGTACCCAGGTTGTCAGGCTGAAGCAGCTGTCTGGCCCGGGGTACTCAGGACAGCAGGCTGTAGTGGCGGGGGCCAATGGCACACAAACCATACACAGGTTGTTATGCTGTGCAGGAGGGGGAGGGGAGCTCTCTCCAGACACCATCAATTCTGGCATCCACTGCCACTCTGCTGGGTCACAGTGCCATCTAGCGGCTGAAATGCCTGCTCTCAGGGGACCGAGGGCCCCTGGAGGGCATCTGAACCAGGGGCTGCCAGGACGGAGTAACAGCAATAGAGAGCCTGCTGTCCCTTTGTGCCTCTCTGAACACTCCAAGCCCCAACCTCTCCAACCCAGAGACCTCTGGGGTCCAGAAAGTGCTGGGAGCTGAGGTGTGTGGGAACCCTGAGAAGTGGCTTCCATCCTGCAGAGGGCTTGGCATAGGAGAGAGGGAGAAGTCACGAAGTCCCAGGGTATGTCTCCAGGCACCTTGACCCAGCCAGCTAGCAGAGAGGCTAAAGGGAGCAGCCTGCCATTTGCACCTCCCACCTGCGCCCTCCTGCCTGCCTAGGGAGCCACAGGAAGCCATGACCTCTCCCAACACAAATTCCACCTTCACTGTGTTTTGGAGAATGAAAAAACGCGGGGAATGCCTGCAAACATGTCACACAGACCCACACCTGCCCTGTGGCTCTGACAGTGGCACCTGGGTCCTCTGCCGGACATCTCCTGGGCGCCTCAAGCTAAACTCAGGAATGGAACTGAGAGAACCAGCCTACCTGACATGGAGGCCTGAAGGCTGTGTCCTCAGGTTTGGACGCCACATAGGCATCTTCACCCCCTCCCCGAATCGAGTCCAGCTTTCCGTCCCCCTTTCCACTGCACACAGGCTTGCCCAGACTCTTCCCTTTCTCCAGGACCTCTGTGTTCAGGCCTCACCCTTTGAGGGAGCATCTGCCTAGGCTGCAAGGTGGTGATTAAAGAAGCCTTAAAGGAAATTTGGAAAGAAAATGAAGGGGGATTTATGATGTTGGGTGGAGAGTTCTGCCGTTGGCTGGGAGCAGTGTGGAACAAAGCGGAGGGCAGATCTGATTTATAGGAAGTCATTATTGGAGGAGACGGAGAGGCCCAAAGCCCAGCTGAGCCCTTCTGGCAGATTCCCATCAGTAGCATGACTGGTGCCTCCGGGTGGGGGCTGAGGAGCCTCCCTGGGTCCCAGGTGGGTGGCAGCCCTTCCAGTAGTAGCTCAGCCAGATCTAGCAGCTAGGACCAGGCAAGGCTAGAGTGACAGCCAGGTCCAGGAGCTCCAGAGGGGTCCCTAGAGGAGTTCCCAAAGTTCAGGGTACAGGGAGACCATTCCTAAGGTGTCAGGTGCGTTTGGTGGAGGTTAGAGAGGTCTGCCCTTGTTTTGAGGTGAACAGATGTGTGATAAACTAAAATTTTAATTTTTACACACATTTTTCTCAGCTGTCTCAAGAGACAGCTGCACCCGGCTACACCCCCCAAGGTGCCAGTACCAATCCCCTTTCTGTTGAAAGGGAGCCTGAGAAGTATCAGAATCAAGCTGAGGAGATAGCATAAGGGTTTGAGTTGGGACCCTAACACTGGTCAACTGTGGTTGCTTCTATGTAAGCCTCAGTTTCCTCACCTGGAAAGTGGAGGGAATTGGGGACATTGAAGAGGTATTAGCTAAAATAAATAACATTTTCATTCCATTGGACAAGTGCATCCAAGAGTTCTACTGTACACTATGGTGACCATGGTTAATAACAATACATTGTATTCCTGCATGACACCAAGACAATAGATTCTAAAGGTTCACAGAATCAAAAACTAAATATGCAAGATGATGCATATGTTAATTAGCTCGTTTTAGTCACTGCATAGCATATACATTCTACAAAACATGTTGTATGTGATAAACATATGCAATTCATTATTTCTCAGTTGAGAAAGTGGTGCTGAGGAGACACACCTCCAGGTGTCATGAAACTTAACGCGAGATGTGTGTGCCCTTACCCAGCATACAGGTCAGAGCCACCGGCTCTTCCTTCCAGTCCTTTACCCACGCTGGCCTCATGCAGCTTCTGCTTGGCCCCTCGATGCTGGTCCTTCTTCCTATAGCCTCTGGTGACCAGTTTGGAACCACGGGCTGGAGAGACCTGAGCTGAGTGAGTGTCCTTGTCCGACAGTACCACTTCCCAAAGCCTCACAGTCCAGCCTTGTCTGGCATCAGCAGGCTCTCCCCACACCGACACAGCATCAGTGCCTCCATTTGAAACACACTTACAAAGGGGGACCCCATTACCATCCTACCTGTTGCCTTCTTCTCCAGCTCACACCCTTCATCCCTCTGCCTCACACGTTTTCCAGCATCTTAGACCAACTCTTATGATATCTTGGATGTTCTTGGCAGCCTATGGGCCTTGGTGTCCATAAGAACACTACGAGATTCCAGTAGGGGAATGTCACAGGTCCATACCCTTCCAGTGAGGAGCCCCTGAGCCTCCACTGCAGTGAGATATGGGACGAGAAACTGCTTCCAATATGTTTATCCTTTGGTCCAGTTTGGAGGATGCATTTGTTGAAAAGTAGACACTTAAGAGTCTTCTCATTGCCCCCACCCCTGCATTTTGCAATGCCAGTGACTGGTACCTAGAGGTCTCCTTCCAAAGTTCCAAAGGAAGAGAATGGCCCAGGAAATAACTCAAAGGCCATTCCTCAGAAACTGGATCCCAGTCTGCTGCTCCATTCCTGGGTCAGCAGTCCATAGTTGGAACAGTTCGGAATGTACTATCCATCCACAGCCTCTGCCCTTCCCTCTCCATCCAGCCCCTCAGAGCTGGGAGATGAACCCCTGTGCAGAATCACACTGGAGCCTGCACTGTCCAAGTGCCAGGGGTCAGAGGTCTGGAGGAGCAGGTATTGAGAATAGCCAAGGCTTCCCCATACGGATTGGGTCCGATGAGCAAACAGGGAAGCCTGAAATGTGGCAAGGGGAAGTGGAGACCTCAGAGGGCCATTAACCCTGGAACTCCCAGCCTCTCTGACAGACTTCGGAGTGGCACATGTCCTTGGGAAGGAAGGGGAGACGGAATCATTCAACGCCCCACAGCATAACAAAGGGGCCTTTGAAGCTTGAAGTGCTGGGCAAAAATAAAGTGATATTAGTCACTCAGCAGGTGGTAAATAGTCCCAGCTAATGACTATGTGGCACCTGACATTTTCCAAGATACCTTCCAAAATTCATCCCACTTAATATTTATGACGCCCCAGAGAAGGAGCTATTATTATTACCAGTTTATTTCATAGATGAGAAGACAGAAGCTGGGAAAGGTTAAGCGGTATGCCCAAGGTCACATAGCTCAACCTTGGATTTGGCGGAACACCAGTGCTGAGGGCTGGCATTTCACCACTACAGGCTCATCTGGGGGACCCTGTGTCTGGGGGAGGGGGTGCTGGCTTCACACAGCGAAGAAGTCATTGACAAGGGTGGAGTTGACTCCATCATGATGTTGCTCTGCAAGACTAAACAAGATGTCCCTAGCCACTGTCTGGGTAGCCCTGTATGATATGGTTTATGCTAAACCTTTGGAGAGGAAGGGAGGGTGGGTGTCACAAAGCAGGAAGAAAAGGAGAAACGGGTCCTGGGAGACTGGCTGCTGCCTTTGCCACTGACCCCCAGAGAGGAGCCATGGACCACAGAGGAGGCATGGAAGGGCAGTCTGAAGGGGAGGTTTCCGTTGGTTTTGAGAGTTTCCCTTGTGGCATCAGCGAGGGGTGCAGCGCCTGGCTGCTCTGCCTTAGATCCCAGTTTGGACCCTATCCTAAAGCTTATAGAGATGAGCCCCAAAAGCCTGGATCCCTAAACTGTGGGCTCACCTACTCCCCAACTGTGTGACCAACTTGCCAAGAAGGAGTTGTGGGTAATATCTCTGTTATGGTCCGGTTGCTATGGCAATAAATTGCTGCTAATTAGTAGTGTGGTTACCATGGCAATTTTCTAGTAATTACAGGTTACAAATGGTGCAAGGCTTCAACCCAACCCAATTAGTTAATTAGAAAGATTTAGAAATTTGTCCAAAAGGGAAATAACCTGCTTTGTAGAAAATGAAGGGAATGTGTCACAGCTTGGGAGCCAGAGGCAGAAAGGAAACTGGAGGACGCCACAGAGAGAGAAGGACTGAGCTGCATGGTGGCAAGTCCTGAGTCCCACCTGGAATTTCCTGGAAGCCCTTCCCTGGGCTGGAGTTTCCGGCTCCTCTTTTTAGCTGGCAGAGGCGGTGACTAGGTTATGTCTCAGCATCCACCCTACTGGCTATGGAAAGTGACCAGGAAGTCACCACCCTCCTTTATGGTCTTCATTCTGTGTGATACCTCCTGGAAGGAGGAACACCAGGGGTGATGGGGATTTCGTTGCTCATTTTCACAAGACTGGACTCTTCCTTTGAGATGTAATCTGATTACCTGGGAAGAAAAATTCCAGGACACAAAAGCCCAACAAGCGTTAGCAGATAATGAAAGAGATAAAGGCACTATGGAGCCCTGCCCAGCTCTGTCCTGGAACAAAGCCCCGTACTTTGTCAGGGAGCATCTCCCAGGATGAAGGACCACAGGAGCCTGAGACCCCTCTTCTCAGATGAGTTCAGTCACTTCACAAACCCCTGGATCCATCCAGAGGTGGGTGGCCAAGGGCCTGGCCATTGTCACATGGCTCTGCCAAAGTTGGCATTTACTTAAAAATTCCAGCTCCAGATTTTCTCTTGTCATGATAGCCAGTTCCTTGCAACAATATGTCTTGTCCTTTAGTCATACAAACCACGCAGTGGTCTTGTCAGCATGCAGGACTCCGTGGGGCCTGAGATTTTGCACTTCTGAGAAGCCCAACTGCCGGTCTACGGGCCTGGTTGCACACCAAGACTATAAGCGTCACAAAGCCTCCTTCTCTCTTGCCTCATGTTTTTAAAATAAACTTCCAGAAACTTCTTATTTATCATACACACCATGATGTTCTGAAATATAAATGCCCTGTGCAATAGCTGGACTGAGACACATTACTTTCTACTTGTGGCGAGGTCACTTAAAACCCACCATCTTGACCAGCAAGAGCAGCATGTGGTACTAACGGTACACATCATGTCGTACAATAGCCTCTCTCTCGACTTAGCCCCCTGCTCAACCCTTCCCTTTTGTCATTGTCAGCCCTTCACCATCTTCCCCCTTCACCCAGACCTCTGCAACTTCACTCTGCGCCCCTGCTTCTGTAGCTTGACTCTCTAGACTCCACAGCTTAGGGAAACGCTGCTTCTGTGTCTCAGCTCCGTTTGGCATGTTGTCCTCCAGGTTCATCTATATGGCCACAAATGAGAGGATCTTCTTCTTTCGTAAGGCTGGTAACACTTCTTTATTAGGTCTTCTGACGGATGCTTAGGGTGGTTTCACATCGACACCAGTGAATAGTCCTGGAGTGGACACAGGAGTGCAGAAATAATGGGCCCTACTGACTTTATTTTCCATGGAGGGTGTACGCCCAGCCACAAAATTGCTGCGTCATATGGTAGCAGTATTTCTTTTTTATTTTTCTGAGGGTATACCATACTGCTTTGGAGTTGTACTAATTTATATTTGCCCCAAGAGAGTATAGGGATTCGTTTTCCCTCCCTCCTGTTGGACACTTTTGACCCATCATTATTTCTCACTTGTATGATTTTTATAAAGACTGAAAAGGGCAACTCAGAAAATCCCCATTTAACATAAGAAAAAACTGACATTTAGTGGATAACAAGTTGTCTATAGTCAGCCTCTTGTAAGAATCTGCAACCACTCCTTGTAGGGCTATAGTTTTCCAGAATCCAGGGGCCGTGGCTGGTAAGGCTTTCCAGGTGCAAGGGTTTTCCCGGGAGCAGGTGAGGATCAGCAAACAAAGGCTCTAGTTGAAGCCCTCTGGTTTGGGTTACTTTGTTTCAGGATGCATTAAGGTTGGACTTCTTCATATGGGGAGCTCAAAATTGATATAGTCCTCAAAGCCTAATGTAGAGCTGGCTTGATCTGTGTCTTTTTTTAAAAAAAAAAAATGTAAGCCAGGTGGTGGCACACACCTTCAATCCAAGCACTTGGGAGGTAGAGGCAGGAGGATCTCTGTGAATTCAAGGCCAGCCTGGTCTACAGAGCAAGTTCCAGGACAGCCAGGGCTACACAGAGAAACCCTGTCTTAAAAAGCAAACAAAAGAGAAACAACAACAACATATATATATATAATATATATATATATATATATTCCATTGGAGAGTCTCCTCTCAAATTACAAAAGCGAGACTTGCCTCTAGCCAAACAAATGGGGACACAGTCAAAGAAAAGGCCAACTACCATCGCTCTCCTTTCCCTGGTCGGTCCTGATGCAGCTAGTTAGTGTGTGACCTTCTCCACTTTTCTCCAAATTCTAACTAGCTTAGACACACATATATTCTGAAATACCAAGAATTTCCCACCTTTTTTTAATAAATGTAAGATCACACAATACCGTTACTTGCCAAGATACTTTTTTTTTAAACCATCATAGGCACTCCTCCAAGTCAGTGCATATGGATCTACACAGTCCTTTCAGTAGCTGCGGAATGATCCACCATATGGATGCACCATAATCTGTTAGGCCAGTTCACTACCAGGGAGCAAAACTGCTCAGTGTATCAGCCAAATAAGCATCTTTGGGCCTACAGCTGAGACAAACAGCCAGGCAGGGCTGACTTCCTCAGATTCTTAACCCAAGAACACATGCATAGGTTTGGACGGGATTATTTGGGACTGAGGCACTGCTGAGGGTCCCGTGACAGGAGAGTGCTCGCAGGGGCAGAGCTGGGTTTAGATGTGTTGTGATTCGACTGGTGTGTGTGGTGACCACACCCTGCGTTCCTGGGACACGGGAGGAAGCGTTTGGCACAAAGTGACCCCGCCCAGCTCCTCTCCGGCCTCGGTGCCAACAGAGTTAGGGAGATTGGGAGCCGAGTTCTGTCCAGCTCAGGGAAGCATCCCAAAGTTCAGATCGCTCAGCTTTTCCTTAAAGCAGTTTACCTGGGTCCTCAGCCTTCCAGTCCTTCCGGTGGCGGGGCAGGGCTGGGCGCTTGGCACTCACTGTGGGCGTACCTCCTCTCCTAGCGGGCCGGGGTGTCAGCGTGGGCCCCATTCTCAGCAACAGCGCCTCGGATATCTTCTGTGACAATGAGAACGGACCCAACTTCCTCTTCCACAATCAAGGCAATGGCACCTTTGTGGATGCTGCAGCTGGCGCTGGTAAGTGCGGACCTCTCCTGGGCCCCAGACGTCCCTGGGCCTAGGGGACTGTGGGTTTTTCTGCCACCCTCAAGCCACAAGGGTGTTTGCTGATGAAGCAGGGAGGCTCCTGCCCCTGGCAGGCCCTGCCTGTGCCCAGATGGCACTGGCCTATGAACCTCTGAGTCTGCTTTTGTTTCCTAGCACAATTCTTGAAGCTTTCCCTCCACGACTTGGCCTCTCCCCATTTATCTTCCTTTTTTTTTTTTTAACATTTTACGTAACTGTGTGTACATGTGTGGATGTGTGTGCTAAGGCACTCAATTAGAGGTCTAATGACAAGTTACAAAAGCCATTCTTCTACCACGTGGTTCTTGGGGCTTGAAATCGGGTCAAGAGTCTTGACTGTACGCACCTTTGCCCACTCCCTCTTTTATCATAAACATTCAGTTTAATCCAACAACAATTTTCTTTTTTTAAACTTCATCCTGACTGCAGTTTCCCCTCCCTCCATTCTTCTCATCTCCCCCACATCCCTCCCCTCTCCCCCAGATCTACCACCCCTCTGTTCCCCGTCAGAAAAGAGCAGGCCTCCCAGGGATATTACTCAAACACAGCATAACAAGTTACAATCAGACTAGGCACAAACCTCCTATCAGGGCTGTGCGAGGCAACCCAGATGACAAGGGGTCCCAGTGGCAGGAAAAGAGTCAGAGACACCCCTCCTCCACTGTAAGGAGTCCCACAAAACACCAAGCTAGCATTCATAACATACTTGCAGAGGACCTAGGGTAGATCCATACTGCTCAGTGATTGCCGCTTCAGTCTCCGTGATCCCTATTTGAGCCCTGCTTAGTGGGTTGTATGGACTGTGTTCTCCTGATGTCCTTACCCCTCTGGCTCCTACACTTTTCCACCTGCCTCCTCTTCCGCAGGATTCACCAAGCTCCAAGGGAAGGGACCCAATGGAGAGCTCCAATTTGGGATCTCTCTGAACCTAATGTTTGACTATGGGTCTCTGCGTCTGCTCCCATCAGCTACTAGAGGAAGCCTCTCTGATGACATCTGGTATAGCGCCAGTCTATGAGTATAACAGAATATCACTAGGAATCATTTTATTCATTTTTTCTACTCTAGATCTCTGGGCTGTCCAGCCTCTGATTTGTGGTCATCTAGGCAGCATTGGGAATGGGCTTGCTTTCATGGCATGGGCCACAAAGTAGACCAGCCATTGTTAAAATTAGTTTTGTTGTTTTGATTTTTTTTCATTTTGTTTTGTTTGGTGGGGATGGTTGGTTGTTTTGTTTATTATTGGTTCAGTTTGGGTTTTTTTTTTCAACACAGTGTTTCTCTGTGTAGCCCTAGCTGTCCTGGAACTTGGTCTATAGTCCAAGCTGGTCTCTAACTCAGAGATCCACTTGTCTCTGCCTCTCAAGTGCTGAGATTAAAGATGTACACCACCAACCACCATGTCAAGAAGCTTTGCTAAGTGTCTGACTACTGCTGAGAGCTAGGAATGCCTGCCTGAATAAGGCCGAGACCGCCCCACAGTTAGAAAGAAAACAAACATCTACATGACCAGCTCTAATAAGGAGCAGGATCAAATGCAAATCGGCCCATCATCACAGCTTCCAACCCTGCTCCCCTTCCTGCCTGTGGTTGTCACCCATCAACCTCAGGACCTTTGCTTGTACCATTCCTTTTGTGGACTGCCCTCCCTGTTCTCTGAGGAACTCCCACGTGCCCTTCAACATCCTGCCCAGTCACCTTTGAGAAGCATTTTCCTGCCTTCCTCCTCTGCTTCCACTCCCCCTGGCAGGTGCCTGCCTCTCAGGTTCCTGCTTTGCCCTTGTGATTGTTCTTGTGTGATCTACAGGGACAGGGACTTGTACTGTCCTCTCTTGGCACCCAGGTGATGACAGAATGAATAGTTTATGAAAAGGTTGTGGATGTGGGGTGCCCTTCAGCCCCTCCCTCAGCCCTCATTCCCTCCCATATTGAGAAAGAATGACAGTTTCGATGCATCTCTTCCTTGGAGCACAAGAAAGATGACTGCGGATCTGAACCCGTAGATCTTATGTCCCACCAGCTCTGCAGACAGCAGCATCTAAGCCCAAGCACGAGCCCATCCCTTCTCTCTGATACAAGAGTGTCTCCCCGTCCATCTTCCTGCTCAGGAGTCTCCCCATGGGTGCCTCCTGACCTCCCATCCCAGCTGAATCACCACCTACCCCAGCTGGTTGCCTGTCATCCTGCACCCAAGCCCAGCGTCTCTCCTTCCCTGGCATAGTAGGGTGTGGTCCTCTGCCCTCTGCACCCATCCCCTGCTTGAGTTGTACTTGGCAGCAGCCGATCTCGCCGCTGAGAAATCACGGAATGAAGGGAAGGAGGTAGCACAGAAAACTGAAAGCGTTTGATGAGGTGTTAAGGAGATGGAAGCAGAGGTGAGCGAACAAGTTGGAGTGGGAGAAGGTATCAGGCAGGAGGAGATGCGAGGTGCGAGGCCCGTAATTGAAAGTCAAAGTGATTGCAGGGGTTTAACAAGACATGTCAAGGGGGCATTCATCACCCAAACAGATGCTGCTGTGAAATGCAGCCTGGCACTGCTTAGTCCCGTGAAAAGGAACCAGCTCCTTGTCAAGGTGCCTCACAGATAGGAGAGAAACGGGCCAGCTCAGAAGGCCACCGACCCGACACTTAGGAGAGGGAGTTTGCAGAGAATGCAATGGACCGTCAGCCCTAGGGTTTGGGGACTGTCCCCTTTCCCTTCAACCCCACCCTCTCCATCTGAGTGGCTGCTTCCTCTCCCATCACTGCTCAGCCCCGGGGCTCCCCCCCCCCCATAATAACACCTTGCTTCCAAGGCTCTCAGAGTCCCCACCCCTGCCTTCTCCTGACCCCCATTCTCAGGATCACCCTGTTTGCAGCAGTCTGGAGTCTGCCCACGGCCTCTGTTCTATTGTTCTACCACCCTGTACCCAGGGCAACCTGCAGTTCTTTGTCCTTTGGAAGTGTCACCTTTACTTAGGTTTGCACCTGGGCCAGGAGCAGGCAGATCTGCCTCTATGCCCAGGCTGTCCCTACTTCCTTCTCCTAGCATGGGCTCCTCGGTGGATGGCGAAAGTGAGCAGCCAGGCACCTCCCTTCCTGTGCTCCCAGGTCCTCTGTGGGTTCTCTGTCACGGTTGCTCTGTTTCCTCTGCTGTCACTTGCATCCCCACGTTGCCTGCTGTCAAATTATTTATGTCTCTTCATTCATTCAGCAAGTACTTACTGAGCGCTGCCACGCAACCACAGGCACTGAGGTAGACCTGAGGCACACGGGACCCACCGGGGAGAGTGGGGCCCCCAAAGGCTAGCACCAGGAAGGGGAAGATTAGAAAGATGAGGAGGAGGGCGGGTGGGAGGGGCTTCTGTCGGAACTGCATTTTTGTCTTCTTTATTAATTCTTTTAGTTAATGTAGAAAGCAATGGTTTTACTGTGATGTCTTCATTCATGCTTTGTTCTTAGTCACCTCCACGCTGCCCGCCCCATCATCATCCTTGCTGTCCCCTCACCTCCAAATTGTCCCTTTCTGCCTTCATGTCACAGATATTCTATTGCCTTTTCCTATCCTCTTCTCTCTGCACCTTTAGGCCTCCTCCTTCATAAGCCTCTTTCAACTTTCACATCAGGTTCTGTGTATATGTATGTGGGTCTGTGTGTGTGTGTGTGTGTGTGTGTGTGTGTGTAAACCTGGAGTTTACATATTCAAGAAAACATGAGCCAGGTGGTGATGGCACACACCTTTAATCCCAGCACTAGAGAGGCAGAGGCAGAGGCAGGTGAATCTCTGTGAGTTCGAGGCCAGCTTGATCTACAAAGTGAATTCCAGAACAGCCAGGGCTACACAGAAACCCTGCTCAAAAAAACAAACAAACAAAAAACCATGGAGTGTTTGTTTTCCTGAACCTGGCTTGTGTTGTGGGCATAGGCCATGGAAGCTCCCTAAGAGGTTAGGTTTCCAGGGGCCAGGGAGTCGTCTGAAGAAGACACACCAGAGCAAAGAACTGAAACATAGGAAGAACTTGGTTCACTCAGAGAATAGAAAGACTATGGTAACCAGAGCTTAGCTAGTCAAGAGTCAGTACAACACAACAAAGACAGATAAGGGCCCCGTAAGTCAGAGCCTGCCATCCCTGGGCAGATATTTGAACTTGACCCGAAGTACTGGTGAACCCTTGCAAGAGTTAAGCAAAGAGGGACGAGATCAATTCAATGTCTCCCTGTGGCCATGTGACAGTGGTGGGAAAGGCTTTGGTCCCCCAGAATGCCCATCACTCTCCTTCTCCTGGACCATGATGCCCTGAGCCAAGTCCAGGTAGCATGCAAGGGGATGGCTGTGCTACTTCCTGTTCCCATGAGAACATCTGAATTCCGCTGGGCCTCCCCATCTTCCCAGAAGAACAGGGACTGTAAGAGATCACTTCTTGTTGCTGGAGGCGAATGTTTATGGGATACACCAGGGATAGCACCCTGGAGCTCCTGCCTCTCCTCCCCAGGTGTAGATGACCCTCACCAACATGGGCGAGGTGTGGCCCTGGCAGACTTCAACCGTGACGGCAAAGTGGACATCGTCTATGGCAACTGGAATGGCCCACACCGCCTCTATCTGCAGATGAGTGCTCACGGGAAGGTCCGCTTTAGGGTAAGAACAGCCAGGTACTGCATGGCATCTGGGCAGACCATAAGAGATAGAAACCTGCTTTGTGCCTCCATGGGCCTCTCCAGAGCTGGGGGTGGGATCCCAAGAAAGGCGACATGCAGGGTCAAGGACACCAACCTCAGCCAGGTGCAGGCTTTCAGAGAACAATGGCTACAGAGAAAGAGGAGTCTCCAAGGCATCCCGCAGGAACCCTGTCAGAGAAATTCACTCTTTGGCAACTACTGTTCCTTGGGTCTCCCGGGACACCCCACCAGTAGCTGCTAACTGGGGTCCATGGTAGAATGATGGGAGAGGAAAGAAGTTGAGGCCAGGGAGCTCCCTGGTTATCCCTAAAGTCAAATAAAGGGTAGGATAACCACACACACACCCTTGTCCTGCTGCCTGAGCTGTGGGCAGAATATAATGACAAGTGTTCTCCCCGAGGGCTGCTGGGTAACAGTGATGTGCCTGAGTTTGGGTCTTTCCCAACAGATGACAGAGTATGGATTTGATGAAGCCAATATCGAGAAGCCAGATTAGGACTTGGTAAATAATCATCATCATCATCATAGAAAATGGAAGGTTATAGTATTCCAACTTTGTGAACACAGAGAATTATCCAGGATCTCCAAACTCTATGTGACCATGAAGAGGCCCCACCCAAAGTGGTCTCCGTGCTCCCTTCCCTGCTGAGACTCTAGACCATCTGAAGAAGAGGACTCTTGCCTAGAACTTAGGACATTGATCCTGGAATCTGAGCAAGTTCCCTCTCTGTCCCGCGTTCTAGCACAGACTCACAGATGATGTGGGAGTGATTTCTTTCTAATCTGTTGCTTTCATTGGTTAATTAATAAAGAAACTGCCTAGGCCCATTTGATAGGCCAACCCTTAGGTGTGTGGAGTAAACAGAACAAAATGCTGAGAGAAAAAAGCTGAGTCAGGAATCACCATGATTCTCCCACTCCAGACAAACACAGGTTAAGATCTTCCCTGGTAAGCCACCTCATGGGCTACATAGATTATTAGAAATGGGTTAGATCAATATGTAAGAGCTAGCCAGTAAGAGACTAAAACTAATGGGCCAAGCAATGTTTAAATGAATACAGTTTCCGTGTAATTATTTCGGGGCATAAGCTAGCCATGCGGGCGGCCGGGCACCAGAAACGTAGCCTGCCGCTCCTATTACAACACACAGAAGAAATGATTTTGCCCTCCCTGTCCTGGGATATTTGACAATGTCTGGGAACATTTTAAACTGTCCTGCCTGACCTGGGAAGGACAAAAGCCAGCAAGGTTGCTGCAGACACTGCACAATACACAGGACAGCCCCCATTATAAAATTATCAACTTCGTGGCTTACAGTACAAAGGCTTCAGATGTCCTGTGCTGAGGTTAGAGAACATGCTGGCCTTCTGAGGCCCCTGAGCTGCACAATAACAATAACAACAAATGTCCCATTTATCACGTGCCACCCACGTACCAGGATCCCTGATAAGAGCTTTACATAGATTATCTGGAAACCCAGGCATGCAGAGGGGCAAGCCCAGGGGGGCTGTGTAAGTTTCCATTTTTACAGGATCGATGGAGCAGTAATGAGTTAGAGATCCTCAGGTCTCCTTGTTCCCCAGCTCTGAAGACCCTGCTCATCCCACCCTGACCAGCCAGCCAGGCTCTTAATCAACCTCATTACGGTGCTGATGAGGACTGTCACCCTCTCCTGACTCCAGGAGCAAGCGTCTCTGCAGCTGAGCCAAGAAAGCTCCTTTCTGTGGTTCCAAAGCAGGCTATAGAAGGAGAGGAGGGCAGGGCCTGGTCCAAGGACAGGGGCTCCCAGAGAACCAGCTCAGCCCTTCCCAACTCTCTTCACCTACACAGTGAAATTTGGACAGCCACTGAATGTCTTCAAGGGACAACTTATACACAATGGGAGTATTCTGCACAGAAACAAAAGGCCATCTGCACAGCTCTTCTTCCATTTCAGAGGCAAATCCCACACCTAGGACCCTGTGCCAGGTCCTCTCAAGACTGCCAGCGCTTGCGGGGAGGGTTCCCAGCTTGGCTGTCTTGGGTCCAGAGTCTCCCCAGAAGTCCTGGGGAAATGATAATGACACTCCTTCAAATCGTGTCTCAAATAAAATCCGAAGACTCCCAAGAATCAAAATGAGGAAGTAGGAGCAATGAGGGGCACAGCTTACAGGTTTGGCTTTTCATGGGGAGCCGGTGACAAGGTTGAGGCATCACAGACTGCCAGTGATCTGTCTCCTGGCCACTCTGTAATGTGCGCCTGACATGGCAGGCCTCACAATGTAGGCTGCTGCCTTCCCCCCAGTGAGATGCAGCCCAAGTGCTGAGTGACCTCCCCCGAAGGTCAAGCCAGTGCTGAGGCTGGAGTCAAAAGCAGGTGGTTCCTAGGGCCTTCCCAGCTTCTGGTTCAGCACTCGAGAAGGAAGGCCAGAATCTTTAGTATGTGGCTCTGGCTCTGGCCCCATCGTTAGCAATCACCCCCCTTCAAGACTCAGTTATCCCATCTGTAATGTGGACCGCTGACGTCAGGCCGCTCGAGACTGGCAGGAGGGCTGAGTGTGGTTGGGACCAGGAACCATCTCAGAGCTCCCTGCGTGAGCTGGTGTGAGCTGCAGCTGTTACTCCACCTTCTGTGATCTGCAGGCAGTCTGAAGTTTGTGCCATCCCAAGGGTCACCACTCCAGGTCATAAGAGAGGGGACATAACAGAGGTGCTGAGTTTCCTCCGCGCATAGTCACACAGTAGAGGGTTGTGGGCTTGTTTCCACCCTCCTTTCTTCTGACCCTCAGCACTCTCTCCTCCAGGACATTGCCTCGCCCAAGTTCTCTATGCCCTCCCCAGTCCGAACTGTCATTGTTGCAGACTTCGACAACGACCAAGAACTGGAAGTCTTCTTCAACAACATCGCCTACCGCAGCTCGGCAGCCAATCGCCTCTTCCGGTACTGTATCCAGGCCACGGGGGCTGAAGTCCAAGGGTCAGAGAGGCTGTGCCAAGGAGGGGATAGTCCTTGATTAAGAAAGAGAGCGAAGGGGAGGACAGAAACCAAGCAAGATAGAGAGAGAACCCTGAGTTAGCTGTCAGCCCTCGCTGTGGCTGGAAAGTGGGTAGTGAGGCTATGGTCCAGAGAGACCCCAGCTCCATCCCCACGAGGTAGAACAACTCCCACAGCCTCAGAAAGGCTTCCAGGGTCAAGTCTGTTGGGTAAACCTGGACTAAGCAAAGGGGATCTGGCTTGTTTACTGGAGATTTCTGAGCACCTGTAACAGAACCACTGAGTATTCCACCATTCCAAAAGATAGACTGAGTGCTCAAATAGATTTGGCCCCAGGACACATCTTTCAGAGATGTTTCTCAGAGACTGGATATTCTGTAGAGCATTTTTGGGGAACACTGGAAGAGATGGCTAAGTGTAGTTGGACCTTTTCATCGGGACTTCTGGCTCCCCACTAATGACACAGAAACTTATTATAAATTATAAAAGCTCGGTTATTATATAATATATAAAATTAGGCTTGTTGCTAACTAACTCTTACAACTTAAATTAACCCATTTTTATTAATCTACGTATTGCCCCATGGCTCATGGCTTTGCCTATCCTTCAGCATGTCTTGCTCCCTCTGCATCTCCTGGAAACCCCACCTATCATCTTCCCAGTGTCCTCTCGGCCCCAAAAATTCTGCCTAGCTATAGGTCATTCAGCTGTTTATTAAACCAATCCGAGCGACACATCTTCACAGTGTACACAAAGATCATTCCTCAACAGTTAAGGTGGAGAACGGAGAGAAAATCTGAGTCCCCTAGCATCTGAGCACCATTTCTAAAGAGAAAGGGACAAATTTCCAGGGTGACACATCTTGAGGGGACTGGAGGAATCTCCCAAGGGCTGTGTTCAGACGTCCAGGCCAAGCCTCAAGGGTGGAGGCCCAGGATTCCGAGTGCCTAGCGAGAGCAGCAGGCACACAGCCACTCTTACCACACAGATATTTGAAAAGCACTATGGGGACAAACCTCACGTGGTCTGGGATGTCGCTAAGACATGCTGGGTGAGGAGAGAAGGTGGAGCAAAGGTCCTGGAGCCAGGAAATAGGTCAGGTCACCTGCTTGGCCCTCCATGTCCCTATTCCCTCTCTCAGGGGGTGCTCAACTATTAATAAAAGGCGCAAGCTGTGACTAAGCATGTTTTAAAATATAATTATTAACCAAGCATCAATCCTGACTGGATGTAATCACCCCCTGAAGGCACCAGATTTACTAATTAGGTGCCTTGCAAAAAGCTTATTCACAACTTCTAGATTAATTGCAGAAGATCAATTGCTCGTTAACAGAGATGCTGCCTTCCTTCTCTGGCTAATAAAGTGTCACTTGCCAGGGCCCTGAGCAGCGACTTGGCTAGGGCTCTAGTTCTGTAGCCCAAGAACCCAGGGACCTTTCTGCCTGTCCACCTTCCTGGCCTGTTCCAACCTCCCAGCTCCCATGCTGCCCAAGAATGGTTGGCCCTGGATTGTCAGTGGGCAGTCGCCACATGGTCACCCCCTGGGGCAAAGTTTGCTTCCACTCAGGGGCAACAGAAGCCACTGTCTAGGTACACAGCTGGGCCTCAAGTCCCAGAGGCAGATGGCTGAGTCCTGAGCACACAGCTTAAGGGCTGCAGCTGGACGGCTGCTCAGCTGGCAGCTTGAAAGTTTAACCCTCACTTGCCCTGTACTGTGCCAGCTTGTTACCATCACTGAAGGGACCAGTCCCTGGAGCTTTGTCTCTCCTGCAACATGCCTGGGCACTGGGGACCCAAAGCCTCATGGTCCTTTAATGATGCTTCAATCAGTGTTTCACCCAAACCAGATACACGCCCCAGTGATAGGAGTCCGTGATGGCCATGCAAGCATGGACTCTCCCAGGCCTAGTGGGGCATGGGCTGCCTCCCACATAAGCATCTAAATACCTCTGGTCTGGTCTCAAGTTCAGTGCCACTTTCTGGTCTTGTGGGGCTTTTTGTGCCCACCACAGCCCTCCCCTGGCCTCTAGTCCAGCATAGCAACCTGCTGAAATGCCAGTCTGGCCATTTCCCTCTTCCCTTTGTCACCCTCTGCGTCTATCCAGCTGCAGCAGAGCCTGTAGCCCACAAATAGTCAACAGGACAGTGTGCATCTACAAGCCAAAGAGTCTCACCTCTAGCACATGCATGTGTGCGTGAGCACAGCACCCTTCCCAGGTACACTGTGTGCCACCCATGTGTACACATGGGCGTGCTCAACCTAGATGCCCTAGGTGAATGGAGGATGTGTCACGGGCATCCTTACAGCCCTGCAAGTGCCTGAACGTCTGTGGCAGTCCGCATCCAGTCACCACAGGCTCCAGCTTTGAGGACACAGTGTGGTTTGAGCAGACCGTATGGTTAGGAGGAGTACAAGTTCCCCCTGCCCCAGGCTCCTCATCCATCCACAGCTACAGAATCCAACAAGTGAGGGAAACTAGGGAGGAAAGCTCACACCGCTGTCAGCCACATACCTCTTCATATGGAGAGGGCAAGACATGGGAAGAGTCTCAGAAGTGCTCAGGGACAAGACGGAGTATTCCAAATACACAGAAAGGCTCTCACAACCTAAAGGGACCCTTCCTATTTGCCTCAGGAATTCACTCCAACTCCCCCACAGACTTGTGCTTGGAGCTGACTTGGGAGATAGGCCCTGTGTTCAGTGCTGTGGGAGAAGCCAAGATGGCTAACACAAGGTCCCAGCGTACAGCGAGCTCATAGACCGGCTTGAAAGATAAGATGCCCTGGGCAGTGTTACCATGGACAGAAAGTGATAAAGGACAGGAGAGCAATAAAGACAGCAGAGGCATCAGGGATGACTTTCAGGACAGGTGGAGGGCAAGCTGGCAAGTAGGCTGAGGCGGGAGAACCTGCAGAGAGTTAATCCCTCAGCAACAGATGGAGCTATGGAACCCAGCATCCTTTGGAGGAGCGTGAAGATCAGTTGAAGGTAGCTGCGCCTCTGCCCTCCTCCATCCATCACCTGCCCCGCCCAGGCTGTCTATAATTCATCTATTAGAGAAGGAAAAATCAATGTTTACCCACATAAATTAAAGCGCAAGAAGGGAACAGCCGTAGTGAAGTCAGAGGCTGTGAGAGAGAGAAAGTCCGTGGACATCAGAGCACAGCGTTGGGGATACTCAAGGGACAGAACCGAAGGCTGGGCCAGTAGGTCTAGGGAGCCCACAGGGCCCTGTTGGACCAAGTCTGTCTTTTCTACAGTGTTATCCGCAGGGAGCATGGAGACCCCCTCATCGAGGAGCTCAATCCTGGTGACGCCCTAGAACCCGAGGGACGAGGTACAGGTAAGGCCACCCAGCTCAGCACAACCCATACCCTCGGGCAGGGAGGAGCAAGAAGTCAGGCAGCCAGGGTGTACCTGCCACCCAGAGATCCCAGAGGAGGATGGGAATGGAGGAGAGCCATGGGCCTAAAGGCAGGAGTCAGGGAAGGAGACCACCCCTCCTTCTGTCCCCAGGCCTGCTGGGGAGAAGCAGGGTTCATGGGGAGGCTGCTGTTTCTCTGGCCATGCCTTGCTGTGTAGAGATGGGAGGGTTGAGGGATGAGTCCCCTCTGTTCCCTGGCAGACATCATGGGTCTGACCCCTCCCCTCCTGGCAATCAGCCAGATAAAGAGCACTTGACTGGGAATCCTGGGACCCAGGTCTGTAGTTACTTTGTTTTCTGGGTTTTGTTTTCCACAAAATGAGAGCGTCTGCCTTTCTCACGTCTTTGGGTTGTAGAGAGAACCAAAAATAGACCATGCCTATACAAACACTAGAGAAGCTGAAAAACAGAAACAAAAACCACTGTGTAAATAAAGAGGTATATCATTCAAACCACAAGAAAAGCAGATCGTAGCTTAGACCCATCCCATCCATGACATTCAGGGAAAGGAAGGAAAGCTTGTCTGTGAATTCCTGTCTTGAGCTGGATGATGGACAGGAGAGAGATGGGCCTGCAGCCCTGTTCCTGCCCCAGCCTGTTTGTTTTCTCTTTTTGTCTTTCATACTCATGGTTATAGTCACCACACCAGGGAGCCCCTCCTCCCCCTTAGTCTAGTGGCTGGGCTAATGGCTAGAGGTGAAATCTGCGTTGTTTGTAGGTGGCGTGGTGACCGACTTCGATGGAGATGGCATGCTGGACCTCATCTTGTCACATGGAGAGTCCATGGCTCAGCCACTATCTGTCTTCCGGGGAAATCAGGTGTGCAACCATCTCAGGGCCCTTAGCTCCCATCCTGGTGTGCTCTCAGTGGCCCATGAAGACAAGGAACCTGGGCTTGCTAGCCAGCATGATGGGAAATGGGAACTGAAAAGCCTCGGACCGGAAGCCCATATGTTCCCAGCCGGAAGTACCACATCCAAGAGAATCCCCTGCTCAGCCCTCTGCCTTCTGCCACGGGAACTTCTTGGCCTTAAACCTTGCCCCACAATCGTTTGGCCTCCCCCTTCCTGCAGCCCACATTCCTCTCCTCCTTCTCCCCTCCTCCTTCTCTTCTCCTCCTCCTCTTCCCTCCCACCCTGCTCTATGCCAACCTGACTGATGCTCACCACCTTCCTTCCCCCAGGGCTTCAGCAACAACTGGTTACGTGTGGTGCCCCGTACCCGGTTTGGGGCCTTCGCCAGGGGTGCCAAGGTTGTACTCTACACCAAGAAGAGCGGGGCGCACCTACGGATCATTGATGGGGGCTCCGGTTACCTGTGTGAGATGGAGCCTGTGGCACATTTTGGCCTGGGTGAGTCGGGGTCCATGGGAATGGTAGCAGATTCTGCAATGTGTCTTGCCATGTGCGGTGAGATTCGGCTTCTCTATGGCATCACAGGGAATGCTGACTGTGAGTCTATGCTCAGAAGAAAGGAATGGGGGGAAGGTCGCCCCTCGCCTGCAGGAGCCCCCACCCCAGGGCCTTTGTGGATTTAGCTCACCTCGGGGTCAGAGTACATAATTCTCCTTCTGCCCAGGCCATAGACTTGTTCACACACTGATCTCCACCGAATATGTCCAGGGCAGCTGCCCCCTGACCTGATTTAGCTAGCTCAGTATTTAGGGTGCTGATGACTTCCTTGGATGGAAGGCTTAGAGCCCTGAGTTTTCAATGGGCACAAAGTCACCCTAAGGGTGAAGGCTGGATCTTAGTGGAGGACGGGATTCAAAAAAAAAAAAAAAAACCCTGCTTTTATGTTTAAAAACTGCAGTCTCCACACGCCCCAGAAGCAAACCAACAGCATGCCCCTGGTGCCTCTGAGCTATACTACCCACCTCTTAGAATACCCCAAAAAAATGCTGCTAGGGGCTAGGCAGCCTCCAGACACAGGAGAAGCTGGCTCTCTTGCTGCTGTGGGGCATACGCTCCCATCCTGAAAATGGCATGGTCAATCATAGTTTTAGTTGTGTGTTTATTCTTTGTGTGGGGGGGGGCATTCATGCATGTGGGGGTCAGAGGACATGTTATGGAGTTAATTGTCTCTTCCACCTTTATGTGGGTCCCAGGGCTTGAACTCAGGTCACCAGGCTTGCGTGGCAAGTGCCTCTACCTGCTGAGTCATCTCACTGGCCTGACTGCTTGGTAGATTCTTTTATAAAAGAAAAGCTGTGCTGTGTGGTGGCAGTGGTGCATACCTTTAATCCGGCACTCAGGGGACGAGGCAGGCGGATCTCTGAGTGCAAGGCCAGCCTGGTCTACAGAGTGAGTTCTGGGACAGCCAGGGCTACCCAGAGGAACCCTGTATCACAAAACAAAAACAGAAGCAAAGGACACTTGCCTTGTTGATGCTGCAGAATATGATTTAGCAATAAGAAGTCTCATTGTCAAAGTCACCTTCCCCAAATGACCACGTCATAGAGCTGAAGATGGGCAGTTCAGGTTGGAGGCACTGAAGGGCAGGTAAACCATGAGGGGCATCTCCACAGCGATGGGCAGTGAGTGTCTCAGTGGCAGTGGCTACACGAATCTAATGTGTGATTCATGACAAAGAACTGTTCACACACCTGTTCCCATGGCAAGGTTCCCATGATTTCCATGTGGTATGACCATGAAGCAAGCCATAGGCACTGGGGCAGCCACCTACATGAAGCCATAGGCACTGGCAGCTACATACGTGAAGCCATAGGCACTGGGACAGCTACCTACATGGATTCCTTCACGCTGTCTTCACAACCCTGCTAGCTCTCCAGTTATATCAAAATAAGCTGTTTTTTTTTTTAAAATGTGGAGGTTATAGGGAGATGTGAAAATTCGTCAGGGAGCATGCAGGGATTACAATTAATGGGGAAAAGACAGCGGAGCATTGAGGAAGAGGTGGACCACAAGTCAAAGCATTTGAGCCAAAGATTGCCCAGCTTTCACCAGATGCTTTCCTGTGTGCTATTGCCTTGTGAGGTGATATGATTTTAATATAAAAAGATTAGACAGTATGTTCTCTAATCAATAAATATTTAGAAGCATTAATATTAAGCACACATCGTATTGCACAAAGAAAAAAAAAACTAAGGAAAGAAATGCCAAGAGCGTAAACCATCCCATCTGAGTGACGAAATTACTACAGGAACTTAGCATATGCTGGACACAGTGCTGTGCACCCAGTTCTCATGAACTCATCCTCACGAGTACCCTCAGGTGGGCATTGCTATCTCCATCTTGCAAATTGGAAACTGGATCCAAATGTTAAGGGAAGCCTGCCATGAGCTCATGATTCTCAAATGGCAGAGGTGGGATTCAAACTCAGGCCTGCCTGAAAATGTGGTTTGTATTTTCTACCATATGTTCTAGTATATGTGTGCGCATTCTGGTTTTTATAGGGAACACATAATATTTATGTAGTCTGAGAAAGAAGCAATAAATATTTAGGGGACCCAGAGCCTAGTTATATGAGCCTGTTCCCTGGTTTGGATGGGGTGAGCCTGAGCCTGGGGCATCTGTCACTCCTAGAGCAGCCATTTGCTACACTGGCCCTAAGGGTACAAGCTGACTTTTAAACATGGAGTTCTCCCTCTTGCAAATTAACAGTAGCCGACACCTACAGTATGCTTCCAGCGTGCAGGGCTCTGCCCAAATTCTTCATCAGTTCTCCTGGGAACTTGATGAATTATGAACCACAGTCTCTACATTACAGGCCAGAACGCTGAGGTGATGTTTTAACACACTGACCAATTCACAGCTCCAGGTGGGGATTGGCTGGCTTTGGAGCCCTCCTTGGAAACTGAGTTGCTGGGCTTGGTGACTCCTCCCAGGGTTTCTCTGTCTCTTTCTTCCTGATGCGAGTATCCCTTCAGCTTATGGGTATCCCGAAAAGCCATTCAAGCACCAAGGTGGCCACTGTGGTTTCAAAGTTGAAATGTTTATCAAGCTAGATGTCAGCCCCGCTGAACAGAAAAGGAAATTGAGGCTCCCAGAATAGAGCAGCAGAGCTGGGCTGAGGCCGTCTGGCCCCACATCCTGTGGACTGTCTCTGCTATTTTGTGTATTAGGGGGCATCTCTGGGTTCTTTCCTCTCCAGAATCTGTCACCACCAGGAGAAGAGCCTGCTTCCTCAACTAGGCAGCATGCAGGGTCATTTGATGAGATTCAGGGTGCTCAGGAGTAAACTAACACCCAATGTAGCACACACTGCATCTGGTCAGGGGACCCTCCTGATAGCAGCCTTCAATGGGATTTGCTGTTGGTTTAAACCAAATTGCTGTAAGGGTCCCCACCCTGCCCCTATCGGGCTCCTCTTTTGGAGGCTCCCTTTCCAGGGGGACACTAGAAAGACGCCTAGTCTCAGGAACAGACCCTTGCTAGTTGCCTGAGATCAACAGTGACCACAGAGCAGCTCCGTGGACCAGACCAGAAACCCAAACAGTGGGCCAGGCTAACTCCATCCCTGCCTCTTCAGGGCCCCTTAGGATCCCAGCAGGATCTTAATGGGCTAAGCATAGTTGTCCTTCCTAACTTATGGGGAGCCAGCAACAGGACAGAGCACAGAGAGGGCAGAGAGGGAGACAGTGGGGAAACCAAGTGTCGGGGATGACTGAGGAAAACAAGCAAAGGAAGAGAAACAGGACAGAAGCAGAAGGCAAGAGAGGCAGAGATGTGGGGAAGGAGACTGGAAGAAATGCTGCTGCCAGGCTGCGGATAAACCAAGGAAGTCTCATGCAGGCCTGTCCCCATGCATCCTGCACTAACGTGGAGCCTTGAGAAGAGGGAGCAAGGGAAATCATCCTTGCCCTGGACAGCTTTGCCAAGTGAGGAGGTGACTAGGAGGAGAGCTAGCAAAATAGTAGGAACTTAGAAGCGCGCGGAGGGAGGGGGGGCACGACATGGGGGAGGCAGGGCTGAGAACATTCCAGAGGCCAGGCTAGCATGAACCAAGACCCAGTGGTGGGAGTACTCAGTTGGAGGGATGGGAACAGTGCTTGGAAAGCGGGAGCTGGGGAAGTCTCCAAGGGAGGCTAGACAGGGCCTGATGGACAGAGGGGGTGTCCGGGCAGATCCAGGGGAGCCAGAGCTGAGGCGAGAGAGGATGTGTGCAGGGCAGCAGCCCCACGGCTCACGTTCTTCGAGTCCTCTTAAAACACTTCTCAAACATTTCTCTTGATTGTGAGAACAATGTGTATTGATTATAGGAAAGCGAGACAATACAACAAATCATAAAAAGAAGTAAAAATCACCCTCGATCTCATCACAGTGCTTGGAATGTTAAGTAAAGGACAAAACAACAAACAAACATTTCCTCATTCACTCTGGCGCCATTTGACTCCATCCAGTCCACGCTCACTGAACACCTACTAGCCCCCCGGCAGTATCTGCATCAAGGGCCTTGCCTTGAGCACCTCTGCATTCCAGTGGGAAGGGCAGCACGGGAGACATGATGAGCGGAATAGACAGGCGAAATAGACTATGTGAAGATTGTATTAGGTGCCACAAAGAAAGAAAACGCCAAGCAGGGGAAGGGAGTTAGGAGTGGGGAGGAAGAGGGACAAGCAGCAGTTTCCAGCTAGGAGGCCAAGCTCCTAATCAGCCTTCACCCCATGCAGTACACACAGGAACGCATTTAAGATGCACACACTACTTAGCTTTGTTTCTTTAAAAAAACAAAACAAAAATGATGGCATTTCCCCCGCTTGCTCTTTTCCTCCCCTGCACAGTAAAAGCCGGGCCATGCCTCCAAGTCTATGCGCATCTCTTTTATTTTCCTCCAGAGCCACAGAGTATTTCGCTGTGTGGCGGCATTCATAATTTATTTACCAAGTCCCCTGTTGATGGACAGCTAGATTGTTTTCAGGTCTGTGCAGTTGGAGGTGCAAAGGGGGCTGTCTAGGTCACATGTTCAAGAGAGATCTGCCCTGGGGTTCTGTGGGGCCAAGAAGCACAGTAGGGGGTGAGGCTGTGTCCAGGGGCCCAGATCTGGAGGTGAGGGGGTTGCAAGAATCCCTCATGGCGTACACTTCCAGCCCAAGCTCAGCAACCCTGCTCCCTGGTGGTTCTCGCTCCATGAATCACTCCCCGCTGCTTCTCTCTGATGTTGCTGCAAGGTGTGGGGAGCTGGTGTGAACGTGTGTGCATACTCCTTCCCGTCCACACAGGGCGCATCAGACTCCAGACTGCACTGGCTGAGGCACACCTGCCTGCAGTTGCCTCTCTGAATGCTCCAGGCCTTACTAAGATGGTGCAAGAGCTATAAGGACAGACAGACAGTCAGACCCGTATGTGTTTCCTCACCTCCCTCCCTAGAAACCTGAGCTGTGTTGCACCGGGAAGCAAAAACCTCAGGAACTTTCCTAGCCCTGTTCTCCAGGGGTCCCCTGAGGACCCACTCAGCTATGCAGGGCTTTATGAGTCTTGCTCCTCCTCAGCAGACCCTGCCCTCACTCCGAGGAACCCTAACCACACTGTGCCATTCCTGCGCAGCTGCCCTACCCCTCCTGGGTGCAGACCACCTGCTGGCTTCATAAATAACCCTTTCTGTTCTTGGTGCTGAATACTGCCCACCCAGCCCCCCAGGGCTGCCGCTGCATCTCCTGCGTACCAGTGGGCTAAACAAGTGTACAGCCAAACCCAGCAGGTAAAAACAAGGACTGCTAACCCACTTGGCCCCCAGTGCCCCCACTGGGGTCACCCACTCAAGCTCTCCCAACCCCACGCATGGATACCACCCCGCCCCCACCCCCACACTCCTCCCCTTCAGTTAATTGTTTACAAGTGACTCAGAGCTGCCTCCAAACCGGCTGGTGCTCATTTAGGGAAGGAAAATTCAGTGGCCCACATAAAAATGGCTTTATTGAAGTGCAAAAATATTCCACCAACTGGATTCCCACCATCTGCTTTGCTTGTAATTCTGAAAAGCACGGTGCCACGCAGCTCCCTGGCCTTTGTCCTTTCAAAGCTGCCAGAGTCCACTCCCTGCTGTTCCTGACCTACACCTCTGCTGGATAATGGCCCTCCCGCACAGACAGAACTGTCCCGGTACAGAAGCCTGGCAGTGTGGCTACCTCACCTCAGAGGCAGGGAGCCAGGCCCTGCAGTTGCACAGCCTTGGGAATACTGGAGACACCTAGCCAGCAGCCTGGAGCCAAGGAATCTAGCTACCTATCCAAGGACCCGAGTCTGGGTTTCAGCACTAGCTCAGATGTCCCCAAGTCACCTCCTACCTTGCCAAGCCTCAGTGATTAAATCCAGAGAATGGGCCTGAAATGCCCACCTTGCAGGTGCAAAGTCTCCAAAGGGCTCCCCTAGGTTCCTGCCTCCCCACACCCCACCCAATAGCATCCTTCCAGTCTGCTTCCCCAACCTGGAACTTCTGCATCTTCAAACATAACTTGTGCTTTCACACCGGTGGCCTCACCAAGCTCACTCCCCTGCCTTGAGTGCTTCTCTTCTCTGCCCCAGAAAACCATTCCCCACCATCCCCACCGTCCCCACCGAGTGGACCAGTCCCATCACAGCCCCTCCCTCACTTGTTATGACCTCACCTTGCTCATTAATCCCATAGCAACCAGCTCTGTCCCACTTGCTTGGGTCCTTTTCATTCAATGCTGAATCCTAGATCCCTGCCCAGCATTACGGGAAGGGCAGTATAACAAAAGTGGAGCAGACAGGGGCTCTGGGGTCACACAGGCCTTAGGTGAGTGACTGGGTGATTTCCCTAGCCTCTCCAGGTCTCAGTGTTCTCCAAGATGAAGATTGTGTAGACAACACCTTTCACACGGGGGGAGCTGGTTTGTTCACACCATGAAGCATTTGGTCTGGTCTGGGCATGCTGTCAGTGTTCACTGTTACTACTGACCTGTGTAAGAGCTGATGCAGCCAGGAGTCATCAGTGGGGCAGTATTCAGACTCAAGGGGGGAAACATTGGGCTTCTCTGGACAATGGGGCTTTGAGCCTGCACCCCTAAGTTTCAGACAAAGAGTCCCAGAAAGGATGGCTTACTCATCTAACAGCCCCTCCCCCGTATTCAGGGAGAGAGAACCTGGTCCAGAGCCACGTGCCCCATGGGGGCTGCAAATTTGAGTCTATGAATATTCCTCAAGTCTTTGAGTTATTTGTGGCTTCAGTCAGGCTGTAAAATGTATTCATGGAGCTGTTCTGTCAGCATAGGTGAGAAACACTTGCTTTTGTCTCCTTTTTTTAATGGAAAACGTTTGCTTTTCTCATGAGCCACTTAATTTGGGCCCTGCACACCCTAAAAACGCCAGATTCGTGGGCCTCACGATTTGGCTTCAAAACAGAAAATCTATACTTGGCCCTCTTCAGTCTCTCTCCCACCCCTGCTCTAGGAGTAGGGGTGGCACTCAGCAGTCAGGCCCCTGAGCAGCCCCCTCTGACTAGACAGAAACTTGGGGCGGTCCACCCAGTGGATCTATGGGAGGAGCGGGGCTCCGCCCACAACTGCCAAGCACTGCCTGCCTTCCCTGGTAACCTGAGAACGGCCCACAGGTGAGGGCGATCAACCCCCACCCCCACATCATTACTTTTAGCCAGATCTTGCCACAGGCTAGCCTGCTTCCTTAGGCAGGAGCTGGGCACACCTAGACAGTGCCTGAACACCTGACCAATCTTCCCAGCCCAGTTTTTGCCATTGTTACAGCATGCTGCTCTCAGGATGTGCGTGGCGAACTCACAAGGGACACTGTCCGGGCTTCCTGGGTATCTTCTGTAAGGATCACAGATCCGCAGAGCAGCCTTTCTCTACCCCATCTTTCCTGGGTCTTACAGCTCAGCTCAAGAGCTCCTCCCCAGGAGTTTGTCCCGGACCACTGAACAGGACCTTGGCCAGTCTCTGGGTCTTTTCATCACAAAGCTTGGCACTATCTAACATGATTTATTTGTTTGTCTGTTTGCTTGCCTCCCAGATGGAGAGGGAAACCCATGAGGGGACATTCCCAGTGACTTAAAAAAAAAAAAAAAAAAAGGCTTGGCTCCTAGCAGAGCTCCATCAATAGAAATATCAGAGGCATGTTCAGAAGGGCACAGCGAGTTAGCTGCAGAGCTAGGACTTGTCCCCAGGACTCCCAGCCACCTGGCCCTCATCATGTTCCTGCAGCTTATCAAGCAAGTGACAGCCAGGATTTGAACCCCTGGCTCTAAAGCTATCCTGCTTACCATCAAGCCTTACAGCTCCCTGAATTCAGCCTCCTGCTGCCTGACCTGTTGGCTAGAATAAAAGTTCTCCAATACAGCCACCACTAGCATCATGTGGCTGTTGAGTTGTAAATTAATTTCAATTAAGTAAAATGTTAAATTCAGTTCTTCAGTCACTCCCATCCTGCATGTGGCCACTGGCTAGTGAGCTGGACAAGGCCAACTCCATCACTGCAGAGTGGTCGATTGGACGGTCTGGCCCCGAGGAGGAGCTTCCTCAAATCTATCTTACTCCTCCCCGCGGCCCTGGAAAGAGTGCATTAGCCACTCTCTCTGTTAGCATGCTTCTGCTAGTACTCCAAGAGGCCCTCTCTCCTCTGCTCCTGACCCCTCTCCTTCCTCCAACAGGAAGGGATGAAGCCAGCAGCGTGGAGGTGACATGGCCAGACGGCAAGATGGTCAGCCGCAGTGTGGCCAGCGGGGAGATGAACTCAGTGTTGGAGATCCTCTATCCCCGGGATGAGGACAAACTTCAGGACACAGCCCCACTAGAGGTGGGCCAAGACCTCTGGGCCTCAGAGTCAAATATATATATATGAGGGGGGGGCAGCACCACCACCCATTATCCTAGGGGTGAATCTGTAGACTCGCTCTCTAGAATGGGAGAGATGAAGGCTCCACTTGTAGTTTTACAACCTGCCGTACCCACACCTCTTCAGCTTCTCACAGAATTCTGGAGGGTTGGCAGGGCAGCGGGGTTTGCACCCATTTCACAGGGGAAGAAACCAGAGGCCCAGAAAGCAAAGCCAAGGCCAGCTAAAGCTACATAGCCAGTTGTGCAGTGGGTTGAGAACCAATCCCTAGTCTCCTGCTGCCCTTGTCTTTCCTGAATACCTGAAGAGACCTCCTATTGTCCTTGGATGAGGCTCAGACCATAAACTAGGATCCTTGAGGGTACGGTCCTGGTCCAGCTTCAGGTCTGTGTCAGGTGCAGGGAGAGTTTGAATGACATGCTCTGCCCTCCGCCTCAACAACATATCCATTAGTGTAAGGCAGAATAAGAGGGAGGGAGGAGGGGCTGCCCTCAGGCTCAGGCTAAGAGCAGTGACAGACAGCTACCGTGTGGCTGTGACAAGGACCTGAGATGAGGTCTCTCAACTCACAAGTGTCTCTGCTTCTGCCACCTTGCAGTGCGGACAAGGATTCTCCCAGCAGGACAATGGCCATTGCACGGGTGAGTCGCCTATAGGCATCAGAGGACGGGGCAGAGGCTGGGATCTTCCTGGGGACTCTCAGGCTGACCTACCAAGGCCCGAGACACAGACAGTGGCTAGAGAGATAGGGAGAGGAAGGTGCCATCGGTCCTTAGAGATCCAGTTGCCAAGACAGTCACCCTATACCTCACCGAGGTGAGAGTGACTTTAACAACTGCAGGCTGACTCATTCCGCTGCTGGGCATTGGCAGTCCCTGCCTGCCATGAATAGCAGGAGAACAAACCTGCGGATGGCACACGCTGCCACACAGACACTCAGACAGCGATGGATAAGCCTCACCCTGCCAGAAGCAGAGCAGAAACATTCTATGGCCAGACTGAGGAGCAGTCAGCCAGGAGGCTGACAGACCCATGGAGGGGGAGCTAACTGTAGGAGGCATTCGGGCACAACAGGGTGTGGACTGTGATCACCGTGTAGACAGGAGACTGCAGCCGGGTACAGTACAGGGAAGGCTGGTAGCTTCCAGATGCCAGGTCAGTGAGGGTCTCATGACTTTCTCAAGTCTCCCAATTACGCTATGAGGGGGGGGCCATCTAGCAACCCAGGGTCCATAAGATGTCCAACCCAAAGCCTTACGTCTTGATTTGTAACGAGGACTTTGGGCGTGGATTCTTTCTTCCTCAGACCCAGAGAAAATAGACACAGCCCACTCTTGTGGAGCTCACAGCCAGGAAACAGAGTGGCCTGCATACAAACAGCTGACGACCATATATGTGGGCCAGGGATGACATGCGCTGGGAGGCGCCAAAGGGAGTGTTAATCATCTGGGGTAGATCCCAGGTGGCAGACAGAGAAATCGGGGTCAATCTGGAACCTGGGGGACGATGAGTAGGACAGCCACAGAAAGAGGGGTCAGGGCGCCCGTGGAGAATACTGCCTGGGCACAGGACTACAGAATGAAGTATGGGTGCCTAGGGGAAGACGTGACTCCCCCATACTGCCCGTGTGCCACTCTGGTCACATGAGAATGCACAGCACAGGCACATAAAACTTTGGAGTCTTTTCTACATGCTGAGAGGACCCTTTGAGATCACTGGCCCGGCAGCTCTTCCTTTCTGTCACCCAGAAGGTCCCCTACATGGTACTAAAGCACCGTGTCCGGCTCTGGGGATGCAGTCTAGTTCCTTACCTGAGGGGTTCTCATCCTGGTGGAGGGGTCAGACCTCAGACACAGGACTCCGTGGTGTTAGAAAGTGGTTTAGGGACCCTGTCAGCTAGGTGCAGCACAGGGACTGTCTCAGTAGAGAAGTCTGTAAAGAGCCACTGGTGAGGGGCTCGTAAGGATTAGAAGTACCTGCCCCAGAAGGAGCTGAGGGGAGAACACAGGCCAAGGGCACAAGCTCGTCACAGAGATGTCAGAGGTGGTGTTATGGTTAAAATGAGGTAGAGGGTAGCACAGGTCAAGGGGGGACTTGAGGATTCCAGAAGGAGTCTGGACTTTGTTCTTAGGTCCTTGGGAGCTAAGTAGGAGAGTGACCTGATGGGATTCACGTTTTGAAAAGATCACTCTGGCTGCTGAATTGCAGGCTGGATTGAAGGGAAGCCTGGAAGCCAGGAAAGCCAGTAAGGCAGCCGCTGCAGACATCCAGGCAAGAGACCGTGGGGGTTGGGCATAGGGTGGTGGCAGTGAGGAAGGTGGACAGATGAGAGGCCTGCTTCGGGGCAGAGTAAATTGCATCGTGGGGTGAGGAAACGGGAGGCTGGGGAGATAAGTCTGATTTCTGCTGGTGTGGCTGAGCAGTTGGTGGTGGCATTGACAGAACTGTGGAAGATGGAGAGGGGACAGAAGAGGCTTAGGGGCTGAGGGAAATCAGAGTTCCATTTTGGAAATGATCAGTCTGAGGTGTGTATTAGACATCCAGGTGGAACTGCCATGGAGGCCATTGGTGATTGGATTCACAAGCGTGGAGCCCAAAGGAGAGGTTATGGCTGGAGGCAGGAAGTTTACAGTCGTCCACATTTAAAGAGTTTATCTAGAAAAAGTGTGATCTATAGAAAGGACCCAGGACCGAGCCTGAGCGCTCCCAATATGCAGGACTCAAGGACAGGAGGAGCACTGACGTGGAGAAACAGGCCCAGCAAGGAAAAGGGACATACCCGGGATCACAGGTCAGGCGGACAGACAGATCCTAAGGAAGGACACACTGCCCACCTCTCCCTGGTGATTGGCTCTCCTTCCCTTGCAGACACCAACGAATGCATCCAGTTCCCGTTCGTATGCCCTCGAGACAAGCCCGTGTGTGTCAACACCTATGGGAGCTACAGGTGCCGGACCAATAAGAGATGCAATCGGGGTTATGAGCCCAATGAAGATGGCACCGCCTGTGTGGGTGAGTGGAACTCTGGCCACATTCCGTAGCAAAGAAAACATGCCTTGTCCCTGGGAGTGCAGGGCTCTCCGGGTGGGCTCCAGACCATGGTCCTTAGCCCCTGCTTCCCCCTGGACTGATAGAGGCTCCTAGAGTCACGTTCACTCTCCAGGGGAGACCGTGTCAGGCTTGGAGAGGCTCCCTCACTTCTGCTCCACTGAAGGGCCCCGGGGTGCTGGGTCCTGGTCCTGTGGTTCTCACTCCCCTCACATCTCCTGAGGCAAGTGTTCTGGCCTGGAGGTCAGCCGGTGTTCTCGTAGCTGGGGTGGAAGCTCATCCAAGTGACCTTTGGCAGAATTTCTGAACTGGTGTTTGTCTTACCTCCTTCCTCCCAACCAACCCTCTTCTCTTCCCCCGTTTTCTACCTCCCCACCCTTTCGTTTTTTGCAGCTCAAGTGGCCTTTTTAGGTGGGTATTCTTCGGCTGCCTTTAGAATCTCTGAGCCTCTCTCTCAAGCCTCATATCTTTCGCTAGGCCTTGGACTTTACCTTCAGTTATATGCACTTTAAATTCCATCAATAAAGGAAAAAAAAACAAAACTCACAACCTTTGTGGAAAACTATATCTCTCCTGCTGCCTACCTCTCTCCACACCCAATAGATTCTGCCACGTGCTCCTTCAAGTGGACAGTGGGGGTGGCCATCTTTGAGAAGGGAAGTTTGGGAAATGCTGGCGTGACCCTAGTTGTTTGTGAAGCCTTTCTTTGCATGTTTTCTGAGAAAACAGAAAAGGAAAGTGTCTCCTCTACCCCATCCCTCGTTCCTTCCGAAGAACCAGGACAGTCCAGTCATTTCTGTATCTTTGTGAGCTTCTTATTTTGCCCTTAACAAAGATGGCTCCCAGGCGGTTGCTTGCTCAGTTGATTCAGTGATGTATCATGTGCCTGCTCCTTTGGCCTGTGCTGTTGCTGCTTTGTACAACCTGATTTCCTATGATTATGAAAGCCTTATTGCGTTGGTGGTGGTGATGGGAAGGGGAAGGGTGGCCCTTTGGGGCTCTTGATAAAAATGCTTAAGTTTGAACGTGCCAAGTCTTCCAGCCTCTTTTCTGGAGAAATTATGTCAATAAACTCTCGGCTACATATTAGCGCCTAGCTAGTGGGGGCAGGGCGCCTGAGCCAGAACATGCTGGTTGGAAAGCTGAATTCACTGGGCCACTTCCACCAAGAGGGACGTGAAAACAAGCCACAACCTAAGGGGAGCACCAGGTCCTGGCACCAGCCGTGTGAAACAGCATTGCACTTGGAGGACCAGGCAAGGAGTGTGGGGTGGGCGAAGGGCAGACCCAGGAGCAGTGTCCTCGGCGGCTCACTTGGGGGCATTCGCTTCTCCACTCTGGGTCTCCATTCCCTTTTCATAAGTGGCAAGAGAGTTGGGTCAGTGTATCCATTCACCTCCTTTCCTCCCCAGCTCCTCCCTGTGCCACCGTACATAGGTGTGGCTAATCTCCAACAGTCCTGGTTTTCAGAAAGAACCTAACCACCCAGCTTTTGCAGTATGCTTAGGAACCTGGAAGCGCCTGTAGCCAGAGCACCCTTTGGGGTGATGTAATACCACAGCACATGCTCTCTCTCCACCAGCTCTGGTAGTGAGGGCACATTGTAAATCACAGATATATTCTTCATGGGGGGAAAAAGTCGCTTGAAGATATAATAAAATCATGCTTAAGAATGCAGCAAGCCTTTTAAAAACATATTTAGCAAAAAACTACCCGTTTCTGATACCGTAATAATACTCCCAATAAATCACAAAATATGAATTCCTTGTAGCTCGTGCTGTTTTTACACTCGGAACCAGAGCTTAAATGAAAAGTTTTAAAATGAAAACCGCTACAATTTCCCTGGGAAGCACATAACAACTTAAAAATCACTCCACTTCCACCGGTGCCATCCCTGCGTATCGACAGAGAATTAAAGATCTGAAAGGGCCCAGACATGAGCCTCAGAGAGATGAAGTGATTGAGGTCGCCCTGCCCAAGGTCACAGAGCCAGCTGGTCCCCATGCCAGGCCTGCGGACCTTTCCCACCTCTTGTTGAGGGTGAGTGGCACGCACTCGCTGCTTAGACGTTTCCATGTTCTCCCCAGAAGCTGCCGCCTTCTCAGAAATGAGCAAGCGGATCTAAGATATAGAGATGAGGAAGGCCCTCGGCCTCGCAGACTGGCTGCAAAGGCAGCGACTGTAGGAAATAACAAGATAACACGCTCCATTGACTGCCCCCACACAAAAGCGTGAGCAATGGAGGTGGGGGTCGGAAAAGCTAGTGAGGCAGCCTGCCAAGGACACCAGGAGCTTCCGAGTGCCAGCTAACTTCAGCGGCTGCCTGAACTGCCTGGCACACTGCGTTTCAGGTCGCTCTACCTTGTGGGCAGGTCAGATGAGTCACAAAGGGGCGTCCCAGGCTCCCTAGCTGTTAAGGGAATGCAGAGTTAGAAGGTATCCCATGGGGTACATGCATTCAGGAGCTATTGTCTGAACCCCTGCTCTACAATAGGGCCTGAGCAAGGCTCTAGGTTTATAATGGTGAGTAAAGATAACACGGTTGATACGCCCCACACACACTGCCTTCCCTCTAGCCAGATGGAAAAGCCAAGCATCAGGGTGGGAGGGGGGCTTTCTTAAAAGTCTAACTAGATTCACGGGTTACCGCACGCAGAAACAAACTCCATCCATTCATTCATCCACATGTTCATTCAGCAAGTGTTTATTGAGACCCTCGTGGGTATTCTTGTGAGAAAGATGACAAGCTCCCTCCAGTGAGAAGGTCAAGCCTTCTACACCCAAGATGATTTCAGTGGGAAAAAGAAAACAAGGCTAAACTCTACTTGGCCTGCCCCCAAGCCCAGGGCCCACCACTTGCCAGGAATCCAGGTATTCGAACCAGGTACCTCTGGCTCCAGACCTTTGCTGCCTGGGCATTGTCAGCCACAGATATGTTGGCCAGACCAGCACTCCCACCCCCCATCCCCCATCCCCATCTTCCCTTCTGGTTCCTCTTCCTGAGACTCATGGCATCTGAATCCTCACTGTCCCCTTCTGAGTATCTGAGAGCGCACACACGCGCACACACACACACACACACACACACACACACACACCTATTTTTCTTATATTGAGCACACATACACACACTCACACATACACTCATCTATCTTTCTTCCATCCCATAGGCCCACCTAGGTTCCTGATATCTTTTTTAGTTTATGGTGGAATTTGTAAAAATTAAAAAATAGACAAGACCTTCAGGGCAAGTGAATAACTCATGATGTCCTCCAACTAAGCCAGGCCCCATTTTTTTTCAAGAGAACCCCCCAAAATAATAACTGCAATAATACTACCACTTTTATTCTGTCTGTGAAGCCTCCTCCAGGAATGTCTCCCCTCAGAATGAAATAAGAGCTTTCAGTGAGTTAGCTCCATGTGTCTGGGGCAGATATAAACTCTTTACAAGAGCCAACTCGCTTAATCCTTGCAGCAATCCCTAGGGGAAAGTGCTATAATTATCCCAGTTACTCGGATAAGTTAAGTGTTTCCTTAGGCTCACACAGCTGGGACAGGCAAAGGTGGGATGGCATCCCAGGCAGTCTGACTCTCCCACCTGCAGGCTTACCTGCCATGCCTACCCACTTGGTCCAGGTAGCCAACTGGTTTGTGCAAAAGCCACATGTTTCCCAGAGTCAGGGTCAGGTGGGAAGGGAGAAAGAGTCCCCAGAGAGCTGAGATCTGGAGAAGTCGTACCAAGGTCACACCAAAGCCTGAAGGAAGAGCAGGCCACACCCATGTGGAGAGCATCCTCATCAGGCCAGCTTGGCACTTTCTCCAGTGCAACGTGGAGAACCCCACACCAGGCCACCTCTATCGCCACAGTCGCTGGCCCTACTCTGGGAAGGTGCCATTCTGAGGGCCAGGAGTTGGATTATGAGTCACTCTGGCTGCTATGGCCCCCTCCCAGGGCTTGGGCATCACATCCTGGCCAATGCTGCTGGACCGAGCAAGAACTCCATCACAGCCTCCAAGAACCACATGGAGGCAGAGAAAGAGCACTTCATTATCTCCAAGTACCAGAGATTCCAGACTCTACCAGACGTCCAGCCCAGGAGGACAGTCAAGTCCCTCCCCTTACCTCCCTGCCTACGGTCACCAGTGTCTCATTCCTTTTGTGAAGCTAGTGGCCAAGCCACAGGGAGTCAGAAACCTGCCAGGGGCTGATGTTGTGTCTCCTTGGCAACAGCACATCCTGGAAGGAGAAAGAAGGATAGCTCGGGCTAGTTGACAGGAGAGATAATCCCATTGTCCCTCACCCTTAGCAGCTCTGTCCTCTTAAGCACTGCTGTTGAGCAGTGAAGAGATCGGAGAGAAGGCCATCCAAGGATGAGAAGCAAGAAGAGACAAGAACCTCCTCGGGTGAGAAGCTAACATTTACGGAATGCTCACTATATGCCAAGAACTTTACATGCATGTCTCCATCAATCCTCACACCATCCCACAAGGCAAATTCTACTAGCCTACTCCATTACCAAGGAAACTGAGGCTCAGGAGGAGGAAGGTACACAAAGTCACAGCTCGCTGAGGAGACCCCAGACTCTCTACTCCGCAGCCTGGGTTCTCCAGCCTTGTGCTGCCAATCTCCAGGAAATGTGCGCCTGAGGGAGTCATGTAACCAATTGTTCACTTGTATTCAACTGCACACCCACCAAGTGCTGTGCATGATTCTGGTGGCTTCAGATATTCATCTGTGACGACAACAGGGGACATACGGCAAGGCATGTTCACATAAACACAGGTAGGGGGCAATGGGGAGGGAGTTCTTGTGCACTAGAGAATGCCAAGTGTGTCAGGGAAGATGAATGGCATGAAGGCTATTTGTGAGTTCCTGGGTAGAGGCAAGCTGTTGTTTTAAGTAAGGTGGGCCAGAGTGTTCAACCTCTGGAGGGGAAGGGAAGGCATTTGAAAAAAATTTAAAGTAGGTGGAGTATTCTTGAACCGCAGTTTCTTGTCTGTAAAATGGGTATGAAGTTGACAGTTATTTATTAAACTTGAATTTTAGCACTAACCAATACCTCAGTTATTGTATTAAACTTGGCACAGTGCCTGGCATGGAGTATGCCTCCAATAAATTAGAGATCTGATTATTAATAAATACCAAAATCGATGATGGAGCCAGGTTCTATCTGATGCCAAAACTCCCATGCTTCCCCACCTAGAACACCCAGTGGTGTGCAAGTGGAGATTTGGATATGGCTTACCCCAGGATGCTCGCAGGTTAGTGAGAAAGAGATTGCAGGACCACAAACGGCCATCAAGGGGCAAAGCCTACCTCCCCGGTCCTAAGGTATGCCAGGTTCGGCATAGTGCTCACACAGCATCATTCCCAAAGAGAACAGTCATACAATAAGGTAAATGAAGCAGAGCGGGCATGAAGTCAACTGTGCCACACAGGGCAGAGGTTTCTGAGAGCCACGGACTTTTCTAGACATACTCCATCAACACTAAGAGACTCCGCAAGCGTTTGGTGCTGAGGCACCCGAGAAGTCATCTAGTCCTGCCCTGTTCTTTGCAGAGAGGCCAAGGACCACAGACTCTGCTGTTTGGTAGTCCTCCAGCTCTGGGCCACACTGCCCATGGCTCTTTCGAAGAGCTCAGGCCAGGCCACTCCCCACTTCCTTTCCCAGAAAGCTCCAGTGTATCAGAAGCATGTGGCCACAGTTTGGGGAGTAAGTGGGTAGTGCTGGGCCCTCCCATCAAGAGGCAGAAAAAAAAGAGTCCTGCACGCCATCCTGCAAGCACCCAAGATAAAAGGTTCCCACGCCAGGAGGCACCGTGAGACCGAGAGTAAGGAGCCAGTGAGGAGAATGCCATCACTTCCTAGGAAGCCCTGCTCAGAACCCGGGTGCCATACTGCCGCCCCAGCCTGTGGGAAAGAAGAAAACCCGACTGCAGCCAGTCGTTCCCCTAAAGATAGCCCCTCTGTATGGCCCTCCCCAGAGCAACCACAAAGAATCCTACCTCAGAGCGGTTGGATGCCTCTCCAAGCTAAGAGCCGACTTCCTTCCTTCTGTGGAGCTGCTGGGGAAGGAGAAACACACCCTAGCTCCCGGATGCTCCTGCATGGCAAGGGAACAGGCACAAACCAAATGGAGGAAGGCAAACTGGGCGTGCAAACCAGATGTGCAAATCAGATGTGCAACTCAACCCTGCTGTTCCAGGTAGATAACAGGAGAGAGAGAGAGAGAGAGAGAGAGAGAGAGAGAGAGAGAGAGAGAGAGAGAGAGGGCTTTGGGACTGTCTCCAGAACACAATCATTAGAAAGTCACAGTACCTCAGCCCATGCCGAAGGTTTCCCATGTGCCAGATGCCATGTTACTCTAGAGACCTAGCATAAGACCCAGTGACCCTTCTACCCATCTATCCTTGAAATTCTCCCCTCACTAAGAGACTCTGGGATCAAAGCCTCGGGTTCATGCCAGGCGGTCCACCTCCACACTCTGAAATGAAGCAAGGCATTTCCCCTCTGAGCCTCGGGTTCTTCATCCACAGACAAAGGCGGGAGTAACAGCCCTGAGGAAGGGCAGCGAGGCTCCCTCCAGGTTGGCACAACAACCGACCGATGGAATGTGGGGCTGGTTATAAAATCTGTCCCAAGC